AAATCTCTATGACATTTTTGTATGATAAACTCGAATTGTATCTTAGAGCATTAGAGACACTGGGAGTGATGACTGATAAATGTGCTTCGATTCTATGGTTGAATCTTGTTTTCCAAGAGTTCCTGAAAGCATGGAACAGAAGTGCTTCTTCCACACTCTCAACTGAGGGTAAGGTTAATTAATTTGATTTCCTTTCTTAAAGCTGAAACTGAAGGGGAAGAAAGAGTAAATTTAGCCATGGCTGATCAAGTGAAATTTTCTGATCTTTTAAGAAAGGATGAGGGCATTTGACCAAAGGAAGAGTGCTTGCAGCTAACAGTTTACTCACTACAGCCTCAAAGGGTGTGAAGAAAACATGTGTTTTTTGTTCTGAGAAACACCCGAGTACAGACTGTTTTTCTGCCTAAAAGATGTGTTTAGCTGAAAAGCAGGCTATTTTAAGAGATAAATAGCACTGCTTTGCATGGTTGAAGATCCAGTTCATAAGTGCTAAGTGTTTTTGAAATGTGTAGTATGTGGTAAAAAAACATGTGTGAGACTCTAGATGCTCAAAATAAGAAATTGTACAAGAATGATAAAAAATGTGCAAGTTCTGAAATTAGCATGTCTAACATCACTTATAGCCCAAAGGCGTTCCTTCAGACTTTGGAAATCAAGCTAGTTGCCAGGTAGTCGAGAAGTCTTTTTTTAGAGCAATCCTAGATTCAGGATCCCAAAAAAACATATATTTTAAAAAATTTAGGGGAAGAAATAAGATATAGTCCAGTAAGAAAAGAAACTGTTATACACTGTTTATTTGTAGGGCTTACTTCTGAAAAGTGTGAACAGATACAGTATAGAATCAAATTAAGAAACCCAGAAAATAATATAACTTGTAACATGGAAACTTTGCACCGGTCCTCTGTATCCGATGATATTACATCTCAGGATCATGGATCAAAGAGCTTCAAGAAATGAAGATAGCATTGTCAGATGTGGGAAGTGAATCGCAGCCTGTTCAAGTACTCCTTGGAGCTGACGCAGTAGGAAAACTTATGGCCAGCGTAAAATATTGATGTGGACTTGTAGCCATCGAAACTTTACTTAGTTGGACTTTGCTGGGAAAGGTACCTAATAGAGAGCTATTTTTAACCAGTGCTATGCTGATAACTTCTTTTTGATAAAAGAAATGTATATTTCTTGAACGTGGAGATTGGATTAATTAGAGATACAAGATCATTCAAAACAGAAAACTAAAGATGAAATTTTTGAGACCTCAATGGAACATTTTTTAAGGAATGTCTGAGTGATGAATGTTTTCTCATTAGTCTACCATGGCTTGACGTTCATTTACCATTGCCAGACAATTTAAATTTGGAACTGAATGGGTTACATATGACCACAAGTAAGCTCTAACTTGGGGATCTATGTGAAGAGTATGGAGAAGTTTTCAAAGAATGGGAGTGAGGAGGCCTCATCAAAGGAGTTTGTGAAGAAGAACTTAAGGCTTCTTGTCATTATTTGCCTCATTGATATGTGGTAAAGGAGAAATGTATGAAACAGCTTCACCTAAACAAAACAGAGTTCCCAGTCTCAATGATTGTGTTTAAAACAGACTGAATTTGATCTAATTAATTCCTTCTATAATAACAAGGTTTCGACTGTATAAATTTAGTATAATGGCTGATGTATGCAAAGCATTTTTGCAAATAAGTATATTAAGAAGGAGATTTCCTTTGATATCTATGGTACAGTGAAGATGGAAAGCTCAAATATTATTGTCATCGCAGAGTTGTCTTTGGTGTTTCATGTAGTCTGTTCTTGCTTGGGTCTACCATCCGATGCCATTTAGAAAGGAAATTAGATGAAACAATACAAGGAAATGAAAAATATCATGAAGATATTATCTGACAACTGATGCTCAGCTTCTGTATTGATAATTGCTTGACTAGTGTCAGAACTGAATCAGAGTTGAAACAGTTTATTGAAGTTGCCGCTGAAATTATGGCTGAAAGAAAATCTGATTTCCGAGGGTAGAATACTCTTCCATAAATGTGATATGATGATGTGAAATCCATGATGTGAAAGAGGTAACAAACATATTAATCACAAAAACAATTATTTTAGCTGTTTCACACAAAGTTTTTGATCCTCTAGGGATAACTGGTCCGGTGATACTGCCTCTGAAACTCTGGCTACAAAATTTTTGGATATATAAAATTAGTTGGGATGAAGAAGTTGATATAAAAACATGCCAAGATTTTCTAAAATGGCTAAATGAGCTTGAATATTTGCAACATGTGAAGGTGCCAAGGTGGTTCCACTGGGATGAAGGACTCGAATACATTTCGTTAAATTTTTTTCAGTGATGCAAGCAAATTTTCTTATTGGACTGTAGCCTTTCTGCGAGTTGGTAATGCAAGCACTGCTCATGTACTAGTATAGAGTAAAATTAGAATTGGTAAAATGAATTAGGTAAAAAAGCAAATGGCGATTTTCTACGATTACTTATAATTGATTACGACGATTGCATGCTATTTCAGCTCGCCTTTCGTCAGAAATCTTGAAAGAGTTTCAAACATACAATATTTATTTTTGGACTGAGCTGAAAAGAAGACTCGTGTGGTGTATTTGTTCAGAATCATGTTACAGAAATTAGAAATTTGACACCTGTCCAAGCTTGGAGACACGTGCCTGGATCTTTGAATCCTGCAGACCTGCCAAGCAGGGATTGTTCACCACAGTGGGTTGAAAATGGTTGGAGGGTCCTAGCTAGTTGTATCTTCCACCTCTTGAATGACCAGTTAGCAATACAGAACTAGATGTCAATGAAAAAGTTTTTAAAGAGAAGAGAAATTGTGTCCTTCTTAGTGAATATTCAAGTAACAGTAGAAGTACTGGCATGGATTTTATGTTTCTCCATAGCATTTTACATGAAAGCAAGTTAAAAGGTAACTTGACTCAGACAAGAGTCTTTGAGGTATCTGATAAGGATTATGCTGGTCTTATTCACCTAAAGTCGAAAGGTAAAAGCTTAGATTGTTTTATTTACCTGCGCTGTCTATCAAGTGGTCCATTTCAAATTAGTCCAGTCACAGATGCTTACATTCAAGCCTTAAGATGATTCATTGTGAGCAGAGGAAGGATTTCAGTTCTTTACTCTAATAGCAACACGAACTTTATAGGACAGTCAGTGCATTTGAAATATTATATTTGGACAAAATAGCTATGTACTTAAGTGCTCAGAATATCACTTGGAAATTTATTCCACCCACAGCAGCATGATGGGTGGGTGGGCAGTAAGAATGCTCAAGAAACTTTTATGTCAAATGTTAGAAAAATTTTCCATACATTACGAAGAACTCGGCATGATCTTATATGATTGCAAGTCGGTAATAAATGGTAGACCACCGCAGCAGCAAAATTCCAGATCTTAATATAGTGTAGACTGATCTTGCTTGATAAAATGCATAAAGTGCTTGCAGAAGTTGTGGGAATATCTTGGAAAAAGCTTTAGAAAAATATCTTGCTCTTTTAGTCCCCAAGGGAATAAGAAGAAATGATGCTTGAAACATTGATGATGATGTTCTAATTGGCCATAATCATATCCAGTGCATCAATTGGATTCTTGGATTAATTTTAGGGGTATGTACTGGAAAAGATGGTGTTTCAAGTGTTGTGAGAGTAAGAACTTCCAAGGGTGAGAGGATACATTTTTTTCAAAGACTTTATCCAGTAGAAGTGTCGTCAAAAACTGATATTGCTGTCCTGAAGCCTGAAGGCTTCTAAAAAAAAGTGACATACTATTGGAGATATTCCTGACTCTTCCGTTGAGAACACTGACGTGGAGCACCCTCCCAAAAGTTCATCAAGTGCTGAATGGGCAAATGGCTGCCATTGTTTTTTTTTTTTTTTTTTTTTTTTTTTTTTTTTTTTTTTTTCAAGTTGCTCTGAAAGAACCATAAGAATTCCTCTTCAAATATACTTGTGAACTTTTTCTTTATTAACTTGTATAATTGATTATGATTTAAGTTTTACATTCACAAATTTAAAAACTCTCCCCTTGCTCTAAATTTGAATTTGCAAAGTTCAATTTTTAAATTTCACTTTGCAATTTGGGAGTATGTTACAGATTGTAAAATAATATCAGTATGTAAACTTAACTATTACTTCATCCATGATTTTCAAGTTATGTTTTTGTTTATTTTTTTCCTGCGGTAGCATGGTAACACTGGTGGTTGTTTTTCTAGTGTTGATAGAATATAATGCTATAATACTTACTTGGTGTTTTTGTTAGCAGTGCTAATTTTAAGCTGCATTTAACTGAAAAAATAGTTGTTAATTTTTAATATTATTATGTTCATTCATCAAGAGAACTTGTTTGTTTAGGTGGTTTAAAAGGCATCTGTAACTTTTTACTTTGCTGTTGTTATTTACAGGAAATAGTACAGAAAGTGTACAAATATGTAGCAAAGCACTGAAATCTAAGTTTGACCATGCTTCCCAAGGGGGGATCATAATTTTAGTGGACTGTAATTTCAATACATATAAAATGAGTCAGTATGTGTAATTCTAATGAATTCTTTGATTTTTCAAATTGAAATGAACAGAAACTGCAATGTATGTATGCATGTAATTGAAATCGCTTGATGAAAGAAATATTTTATTTAAACTAAAGCTTCTTTTATAAATTTACCTAAAATAAAAAAAAAAGGCAACTTTGTACATTAAAATTAGTGTTTTATCTGCTAGGTATTCTAGGTTGTAACTTTAGACTGAGGATATGAAAAAGTTTAAACATTAACACAATCTATTTAATTTTTATCTAGTTGATGAATTTCTCATTATAAAGATTTTTTTCTTTAAAATCAAGTTTCTTTATTGATTTTTTATTTTAAATTATTGGATTGTTTTCCTCAGTGCATTATTTTCATTTTTGTATTAGAGTATTATAGCTTATTAACTGTTTATAAATTTTTAAACCATGCTAGTTATGTAATGTATATTTCTGTGTTTTTCAGTGACCGATTGGAAGAAAAGAAAATGGAATGGCGGAAAAAGCGTTTGCTTTTTATAAAACGAAAGCGAGAACAAGATAGAGGTCAAATGGATCGTTTATCATCCAATCTGCCTCTCTGGCCTCATAGAGAAGGTGCTTTTCTTCCTTTTTTTACCTCGTGTGAATGATGTAGTGTTTATTAACCCATAGAAATAGTTTGTAAGGAGATTACAAATACGGTATGTTTCAATCCATAAATGTTAAATAATGTTTATATTTAATGCTAGAAAGACAAGATTTTTCCCTTACTAAAAGGCCTAAAGCCATCATTTTGATAGGTCAACTTAAAATTAAGAATTTTTTAACTGACAGTACTTCAATATTTTTAATTAAAAATAATTTCTCATCAACAAATATTACACTATGATATATTTGGATATAACATTTTTATGAGCATTTATATTGAAATTCAAAAAGACATTTTAGTAAAAATAAAGTAATATTGGTATAATTAGTTATAAGCTAACTTATTTTATGAAAATATGTTTATGAAATTATGCATTAATCTGGACAAAGCAATTTTTGTACATCAATTTGAAATGATGTATACTGCCACTGAGAAAAAAAGATTTAATTTTCCGTTTTTTATTGATGAAATTTTAATAACTGATATTTTTGCTTTTGCATATTGCAGTCAATGCAAATTGTAGCATGCATATACTCTTTTATATTCCACCATGATAGTACTTCAGAATTGTGATGGGGGCTTGGGAAATTTGCATTGTCACTTAAAATATGTCCAAAGTCTTAATTAGTGAGGTGCTATTTTCCTTCTCTTTTTCCATAATAAAATTAGTGGGCTTAATCCAGAATATGATCCGTGTTCAAACGGATTAGAAGTAACAACATGAGGGTTAAAGCATTTGTCAGATAATTTCCATGAACCTTGCAAAAATAAATGTTTTATAGCAAATTTTATACAGTATCTTCAGAATTTTTTAGTTTAGAATATATATATATATATAAAAATTTATGTTTTTGTTTTTTTTTTTTTTTTTTTTTTTTTTTTTTTTTTTTTTTTAAATGTTGTGTGTGTGCTTTATTTTTAGTTAAAACCTGCTAAAGAATATTGTGATTGTACCTCTTATCTGGCAACCATTGCCAAACCACAGAAAATGTCAGAAGCTAGGAATGAACCTTTGAGGATACTTTTTATGTACCTATAAGCATATACCTTTATATTGTCATATTATTAAAATTAAAAGAGAAAAGAATAGCATTCATTAATGTTTTCAACGAAGACTTTTGCTTCATGTATAATATTGTAATGTACAACCAAAAATAATACTGTAGTAGATGCCTGTACTATGCCTCTATTTCAAATTACAGCTGAATATTTCAGAGTCACTATGGGCAGTAGTGTCCTATATAACACAAGCTCATCTAGTTCTCTATCATCAACTGTTCCTATATAAGTATAGGTACTTGTACTGCAGTGGCAGAGGAAGGGCAAGGGAGAGAATATTGCATGAGTTTGCCATAAAAATGATGAATTTTGTAAACTTTAGAACATAAAAACATAAAAATAAATCAAGAGATTATGTAATTAGTTTTGCAATTAATGTAATGTAAAGGGTCTTTAAAATGCCACTGTTATATTTATTTTTGCTTTGCAGATGATTTTTTTAAATGTGTTAAATAGTTGTATTGATGTCTTCTTTATTGTGTGCTGAAAGTTTCTAAGATTATTGTGTAAGGTAGCTGTATTTTTAACATGTTATGTATCAAGCTTTGATGATGTGATGTTATTATGCTTGTCAACTATAGTCTGAGAATGATTAAACTTCTATGTTTTTTGTAGTCTTTGTCATTCACCTGTATGTTTTAATATCATTAACCATTGAGTACAGAATAGAACATAAAAACATGTGTTATGCAAGTTAATGCTATTTGCATTAACACAAGTTAATTAAGAAATCTTAACATATTTTTAGTCTTTGTGAGCAAGTTGTTGGAAAGCCTTTGCGGCTTAATATGGAGTGGAGGAGGTATCATAAGTAACAGTTTTTAAATGATGTTCTTCCAATTTATCATGCGGAGACTGCCTCCACACTATTCTTTGTAAATCAGCATCAGAATTAAATAGTAGCACATTTTTGCAATATCTGCATACATGGTATAGTTGTAACAATGGTAGTAAATCAAAATGTCAAAGATATCGTCTTCTAATTTAGGGTCAACCATTAATTTATCATTCAGTGATGCGCTTGATGATATTAATACAGAACTATCAAAAACATATCTAAGAGCAGTATTTTTTTTAGATGCTCAAACTACAAGCAGAGATTTACGTGAAAAGTTACGAGAAAAAGAAAGATTGCAGCAGGAAAAAGAAAGACGACTTGAACGTTTTCGCAGTCCTCCTAAAGACAGAGGGGAAATTGCAGTTGAGTCTGAAGAAAAGAAAGAGAAAGAGCTTCATATTTCTCCAGGTATTTTTCTGTTTGTTGGTGCATGGCTCAGTTTGTGCATATTTTATTTCAACAAAAATGTTTTTCATGATTTTTTTTCCCAACGTTCATGTTTTCAGTGTGCTTTTGTTCTTAGTACCTAACAATTGGAGAATCGATAACCATTGCTACTAGTGCAGTGTGTATACATTACATTGTTGAGGAGGGAGGAGAAACCTTCCCAACACATACTAAAACAGCTGACTATTTCTACTACACTGCAGTGTGTCTGTATGTTTGAAAATCATTTTCATTAATTGCCAGCAGGTATCCCTGCTTGAGATATTTGAATTTGATTTATGTAGACTTTTAACCTGGTTATGAATCTGAAAGTAATGGAGAAGCATGTTAGTCATAACACTAGTAAGTTTGTAATGCAGATTTTAAATCTCTGGGATCTCTTAGAAGCTTATTTAAAAACAAATTTTAAATATTTTCTCTGCATTTCTTGTAGCCTTAAATGTTTGTGGATAATATATGATTAAAACTGATTAATTAATATATGATTATTCTTTTAATGTAAAACAAAAAAGTTAATCACACCAGTAGCTTGAAAATAGCTGATACAATAAATATACAGAACAAATGTAACAAAAGATTCTGATAGTTGCTCAATTTTTGTTATGCTTTCCATGATATATGATTGATTGTTGCACAAGACTGTATATTTTGAGATAAAAATGAGAGTATGTAAAATTTCAGTGTCAATTTCTTAAACCTAAAAAATATGCTGTAATTTCACGATAAAAGGGAGACTATGTAACATAAAAGTTTTTCATGAAATTCAGCAGTCTGAAATCTAGATTTTGTATTAGTTTCATTTATGTTGTAAAATGCGCCATGCATAGTTATTTTATCTGAGATGATTGTGGTCTGGGTATAGCTGGAATACTAAATATTTTACTTCCTCAAGTCTAGAATTTCTGGATTAAGTACCCTTATTATCATTAATTAAGGAAAACTCACAAAAATGATGAATATTCAAAAAGGTACCTGTAGAATTTAATGAAACTGACTCACAGTATGCAACACATAGTAAGGTATAAAATAACATGAAAAGAAATTACCAGACAATTTTGGTTTTTACAAAGCATATGTATAAAATGAACAAATCGGATGTGTCAGTTTGTTTTAGGAAAACTACCTTCAATATGGATATGATCTCTCCTAGAAGCAGTATTGCACATACAGCAACGTGTGATGCTGTCAATTATGTGGTCTATCAGATCCATAAGAAGTGAAGCCATTGCTATTTTAAAGCAGTTGCAAGCATGGCAAGGGTCTTACGAAGCAGATTGAAAGCAGCCATACATCTTCCGAAATCATCCCAAACATTCCCAGTAGAATTCGGGTCTATTGATCAAGCTGGCCACTTTATGCACTGAATTGTTTGCTGCTGAAGATAGTCATTCATGATTAATGAATCTGTGCAGTCTGTCTAACATTGTCATCCTGTAGTAGGAAATTATCATCTATTGCACCAACTTAAGGGTACACATAAGCATCAAGGATGTCATCTCTATAGGCTTGAGCATTTGTGGTTCTATGTGGAAAGACATGGAGGTCTGTGCATCCACCCAAAGAGATACCCCCTAAGCACAGACACTGCCTCCTCCATATGCATCTCTTTCACATACTTTTGATGGACGATGACAAGCATCAGGTTCTCTCCAAATAAAATAATGCCTACTATCACTTTAGAGGCTAAACATGGACACTCATTTGTAAGGAGAAGAGCTCTCTATTAATCAGTCATCCAGTGGACATGTTAATGTGCCCACCTCAAATGTTCCCTTATATGATGTAGGGTGAGCTGCACACAAATAGCTGTTCACCTCGCATACAGACATTCTTTATGAAGCCTTATACGTATGGTTTATGTTGGCATCAACCCTCTGGTGGCTGCAGCAAGGAAAGATCTGAGTTGAGTCCCAGTTGTGGTTGTATTTCTTCTGTACATAACAAATATAGTCAAATACCGAAAATCCACCAACCTGAAATCTGCCAACTCTTGAAATCTGCGTTGCTTTTCAAAATACATAGACTCCAACTACTATGGATTCTCCTTAGTTTCTACGGAAATTCATGATAAACTACGAGCTACGAAAAGTATGGAAAAAACTACGGATTTTACAGAAACAGAGTAGGAGAACCAGTACGCAAAACGGAACCAACTAATTCATCCGATGATTGGCTGAATATTCGTGTCATCATATATCACGTATTGAGTGCATTGCTGGTTTTGAAAAATAGCCAATCGCAGATCAGTAACTCCAACTGTTAATGACTAGTCGATAGTCCCCCCCCCACAACATCTTATCTCCCAGGTTCGTTGCAACTGCGTGATTAGCTTGCCTTCGGCTCCATTGCTTGTATTATGGCGAAAGCTTAGCGTGTGTCTTGTGAATTGGGATTCAGGTGGAAGTTTTTTAATAATGCTACCTCGAACGAAAAAGCCAAAATTATCAAAGCAGAAATTTAAAGATTCATATTCTTCAGAATTTCCATGCTTAAAGCATTCGTAATTTCGGTGAATCATGCACACTGCAGTGTATGCAACAAAGACTTCTCAGTACACAGGCGAAAGATGACTGTAAACGGCATTTTTTTCTACAAACATATAGAACTTGGGAACTGTAAAATCTAAAAAAAACGCTTTTTTTTAAAGTGACGAAAAGTTCCTATAGAACCGAATCTATTTTGTTCGAGTTTAATTGAACCAATTACCGTTTCTGTTTGGAAATTTTTAAAAAGCAATGTTTCCGGATGCCCTGCCTAGCATACAAACTGCCAGCTCTTACAAAAACGCCTTGTCCGAAAGTAATGTTCCGATATTTAAAATCGTGCAATTCCTTTACTAATTAAAAACTGTATCCCATTGGTTATACCAACATTGTAAAGAAAAGGGAGTGATTCGTCTTGATTTTCTTTTTTAGAGTGCACCGAAATACTGGAGAGGTATTTTTAATTGATAAATGAAAATTTTAAAGCAAAGGTTTGATGGAAAAATTGTTGATTCTTTTCTTCAGATAATGCTAGTCATATGTGAAAAGTTTAAAGGTGTAGCATCGTTTATCAAAATGCATCAACCAAGTATAATCATCCGAGGTTGTTCATGCCACCTCTTGCAATAGCTGCAAAAAAGGCTACTGAAAAATTGCTCGAAATCGAATGTTCTTAATGATATATATTTTATTTGGAGAAAAGTTCAAAACGGAAGCTAGCTTCAAAGTTGCTCAACAATTTGATGACAGAACAAAAAATCCATAAAATGTTGAAATGCAGTACGACTGTTTTTCTGTTTTAGAATAGTGGGAATGCAGTGATAAATTTTTTAGATCACCAATACAGTGAATGAAGGAAAGAGATTGCAGAACATTAAAAAAATGTTACAATCACCTACCACCAAATTGTACTTGTTATTCATGCTTGGATAGGGAAATCTAGCTCACATTCAAGGTATGTACTGTGTGTACAAGCAAGCTAATTCCACCAAAATGGTATCTATAATAATTTGGACAAGTCTTACAAAGCAGGTTTTTTCCTTAATGCATATAGTTGATTTGTCCAGTTATAAAAATAATACATTGTTTTTTTAGTAACATTCCAAGAAACAATTTGAGAAAAATGTGTTTAAAAATCTGGATGGTATTACAAATACTGGGTAATTTTTTACATAATTAAAGAACATTGTGTAATGCAAGAAGTTGTTTGCAGATGTTGATGTGCTTTGCCTTTTGTTGTGGTGTGAGCGCTTAAGTCACCCATTTTGAACACACCTTTGTTATCTCCAAATCACCATGCACAATCACCTGTAATGTTCCTCATGCTGTCTCTTCCTGCATCTTGTTGAACGTTATGCGCGTTTTCATCATGATCAAATCCGAAACGGTTGCCACATTTGCTGCTGTATGCAATGTGGCAGGTCGTCCTGCGCTGACACCTTTGGCTGCAGTCTCCACTCCACTGCTGAACTTGGCCAACCAACAGTATACGGTACACCTTAAGGGTGTTTTTTTCCTGCACACCGATACCATACAACGATGGATCTCACTATCCTGTATCACTTCCTTCCATAGGAACCACACTGTGCAACACTGACCATGATAGTCACCTTCCATCATTGCTGTTCACGCTCTCAATGACAATGGCAAAAGGGTCGGCTGGTGACTGATACCATTTGCTTGTGGCCAGTGGCATCTATGCATTCTGAGTAGCTCACTCCCCTTTGTGTCTATTTCACTTGTTTTCCCTGTCGTATCATGTAATAGTTTCATTGTGAGAGCCGTTGTATCAATCGTTTCTGTACGATCCATGTAATTATACGAAAACTGATTAGAGTATTATTTTTTTGTTAAAAGATGCAAATAATAAAATTGTATTTTTATTTTTAAGTATTTTTATAGTGTTTGCATTTACGAATTAGTAACAGGACTTTCAATTATTAATTAGTCAGTATTTAATATTATTCAAAAACATATTTTTTTATCATTTAAAAATGTTTTTGTTGTTGAGAAAATCTCATGAGTTCTTAAAAAAATATCATTTTTGAGTGTCATAGCTTAGCAAGTATGCTGTAAATTCAGAAGCAGAAACAAACTGAACTGCAGAATTGCTGTGAAATGATTCAGTTTTACTGGTTTTGCAGATATGGAAAGACAAGTATTCTACTAAGAAATGTAATATGTAGTTCCTCTGTAGAAAGGAAAATATCACTCTTTCCCTCCTAAATCCCTTTTCTAATTCATGCTTGGATAGGGATTGCTTTATGTGAGTTAACCCAATGCTTGGTTTGTTTGAGTCAAGATCCAAGCATGAATTTTCTAAGCATTGTTTTTTTAGGGGTGGGGAAGTTGTTGTTATTTATCATTTATTTTGCTTCCTGCATATTCATATTTATGCATATTTGCCATTTACTTTTTACAGTTTATGTAATTTTAATTACTAATTTTTTTATCAGCAAGATAAATTCATCTTTCTCTTAATTCATTATTTGTGTTCAGTTCTCCCTGTAGAATTCATAATAAGTATTCAATGGATTGTGATTTCTTGTTATAGAAATAATTTATAATGAGATTGAGATAACAGTAACAGCATATGAGGTTTTAATTTATAAATTAAAGCATGTTGATGAAAATAATTTCTGTATTATACTGTAAGAATATTTTATTAATCTTAAATTAAATGCATCCCTGCAGATTAATATATATGAAAGGTGATGTGTGATAATAAAATAATCTTAAGATTAGAGAGAAGAAAAGTATTTTTTCATAGCAGAAAAGCTACAACGGTTTGCTATAATGTGATTTTACTTCCTGTTATCTTGTTATTGTATTGTTTCTAAAAAGCACCATAATTAGCTAGTGACATTTGGTAGTGAAATTGTTAACATGTCACTGTGATATAGGATTGTATTCTATATTGGATGTATTCTGATAAGATATATATTGATGGTATTCTTTATAATGGAGTCTCAATACCATTAATCTATTTCATATTCAGTTATATCTCAAGCAGTTCATTTTTTTAAATTTCCTCCCAGACCCTTTAATTATTTATTTCTCAAAATTTTAAATTATTAAAATATAGTTTTTTATTTAAATTTTGAAAGTATAATTTTGTTTATACAAACATCTTGACTTTGTTAAACAAATCTTAGCATCGTGCTATTAATTTAAATGGCTTTTGAAACTCATAATGTTACTATATATCAAAGAGCTTGAAATAAACATTTTATAATTACAGAGCTCTCTCTCTCTTTGTAATTCATAAAATGCAAATTAGAATGAATAGGAATTTTTAACAGAACAAGGATGATTAGAAATTTATTAATATTTAGATATTTTAAATAAAGCATTACTAAAAAATACTTTCAGCATATTTGAGTCTAAAAAAGTATTATTTCATACATGGTGTGGTAGATTATTTAATTAGTTCTGAATAAATTTTGAAGTAAAATTAGACGCTTCAGAAAATACTGATAGCTATGATCCTTGACAGACATTATATATTAATTTCAGCACTATTAATACATTTTCAGAATTTCATAGTTTTTTGGGGTGGGTGGGTGGAGGAATTACTTTGTAAATAAAATTCAAATGTTCTAACTGCATTATATGTGCTATATATTTTGAAAGTAGTTTTGTTTCAAATCATAAAAAGTGAACTAAAATTCACTCATAAAGTGTCAGCAATGAAACTTAATATGTTATAGAACCTTTCATAGAAGAAGAACCAATGGATTATGAGGAGGATAAAGAGCAGGAGGAGGAGGAGGAGGAGGAGGAGGAAAGTGATCAACCAAGTGATGATAAAGATGATACAGAAAGTGAATCAGAGAGCAGTGATAGTGACACAGAAGGTATATACCAGTGCATTTCTTAATTTCACATTATCTTTGACTATTACAGAGTCAATTATAATTGAATAAACTGTGTCTATTGCAATCTGAATAGAATTATGGAGGGAAAAGTAAACTTATGAGTATATATCCTTAAATGCTAACTTTTTCTTGGCGATTTCTTGCTTTCTTTCATTTAATTAAAATGATAGAATTTTATATTTAAAAAAAGTCCGTAGTTCATATTCTTAAATTTAAATTTTATTAGTATTTTTGTAATTTTTTTACAAAATTATTATATTTTATTTAGATGTCTAATCTAAATAAAGTATAATAATTTTGTAATGTAATTTGTTTTGTATTTAGATATCTAATCTAAATAAATAATATAATCTAATAAAATATTAACCTTTTAATCTCTTTCTCCATATAAACTGGAAAGTATCATCTTCAGGGGGGAGGCAGAAAGTTTGTAGCTTAAATTTAACTAATAAAATCCATTTTCTGTAAATTATAAAAAGTAATTTAGATGTGTTAGTATTTTTCTGAGCATTAATAGACATTTGGCAGAATGTCATTTTTTTCGTAACTTTCTTACACATTTTCCCCCAGAAAATCGGCAACTCATTAAAGATTTTGTGAATTAATGAAAAAGCATTTATTTGGCTATCGTTTGGTTTGTAGGCTCTATTGTATTCATAAATAATTATTAAAAGAAGTAGTTTATTAGAAACAAGACATTTTTTTGACAGAAAAAAAATTGTAAGGCCAATATGTACATTTTTTCCGCCCCCCCCTTTTTTCCCATTTAAGGACTAAAAAAAATTTTTTTTTGAAACGGTCTTTTCATTTGCTAGATCTTCTGCAAAATGCATTCAGTATGATGGTTAAGAGGCGATATCATGCAGTTCCTTTCCGCGTCTTGTTTCTCCACTTGAATATTCCTATGCAATCTGTTTATAGATGCTACTTTTCCCTATGCAACATGCAACGTGTGTATAAATGCTACTCTTTGGTTCCACAAAATTATACTTGTGTTGAATTTCCAGTGTTTGATTTGGATTCTGGCAATTCATGGATGTTGCATCTCCTTCATTTATCAGAAAAAATGGTTATTTCTTCTTTGATAAGCTTTTGAATTTCTGCCATCAGTATTACTACACTTCTGTCTGGTTAGTCACCAGAAATAGGAAGTGACTTTTTAAACCTTTTCCCACCCTATATTCTAACATTTTTCTTGCAGTTCCTTGCACTTCCATTAAATTTCGTCTTTTTAGAAGTATAGCCTCACAGAATGTGAATTTTCACATTTCTGTTGTAAGGCAGAATTTATGATGTATTTATGAAGAAATCCAGTGCTTTCTTTCTCAGCCGATATCTCCTCGTTTGTGAGAATTTGTTATGGCTCCCACAGCATTGGGAATGCTGATCAGTGAAATGGCAGTTAAATATAAATCACTTGAATCCACTTGTAGGGACTTAAATGCATGGGTTGGCTGTTGTCACATGTATATTCGAGAATGTGCTAAAATCGTAGTATTTCAATCGAATGCTAGAGTGCCGAGGTTTGGATACTTAGAAAATACCCAAATGTTTGAAAACTTAATTTAATTTTAAAATTAAATTTTTAAGACTTAATGTCTTAAAAATTTGGAATAAGGCTGAAATTTCTTTATTAACTTTATAGTTTTTCTGATTTTAAAAGCCTTTTTAACTTTAACTTTCGTAAAGCAGAAGACAGGGTTGCCACGCTACCTGGAAAACCGGGAGAACCGGGAAAAGTCAGGGAATTCGAAAATTGACCAAAATATTCAGGGAAAAGTCAGGGAATTTAAGTATTTTTGTCAAAATCTGGAAAAGTCAGGGAAGTTCATACAACGATCCGCCAAAAAAAGCGATTTTTTGCGCCGACGTGAAGAGTACTTTTTTGGCGAATTATGTATCACGGAGTGTCATTTGGGGTAGCTGGCATAGAGCCAATTTCGCAGCTCCAATTTGATTGTCTTTAGAAAGGCAAAGCACTTTCCCGCAACTTTTGGTTTCCAATATTCTCGAGAATCGCATGTGCAGTGCATGAAGTAAAGAAAGTACCTGTTCTCGTATAAAACAAAATGGGTTTAATCCTAGTATACGGTACCGTGGAGGTTAGAATCAAAGAATATGTATTGTAAAGAAGGAAAACCTCTCTGCAACAGACGTGGCTGTGGCTCCGTTCCATCATAGAGGGAAAACAGCTGTGATATGTCTGATATATCTGTTGCCAAAGCTCGAGACCGGTGTCGAAGTTCGAAGGTCACGTTATCAAGAGTTCATAAAATGAATATCGTTTAAAATTTCTTCAACCACTTGCGTTAAAAAGACGTGCCACGCACGTCAAGATGCTTTTGTCTCAAACCGCGAGCGACGTGAACACCACGTCGATAAGCATTTATCGCAAAAATGAAAATAACGTGGTGCACACGTCGCCTAACAACGAGATTGTTTATTTCTCGAGTTACAGCTCTGGATTGCACTCGCAGATGCGGAGCGGCGTAAATGAGACACTTTACCGCTTGTTATATTGTAGCACACGGCACCGCAACCGTGAAGTTTAGTCTTAGCGCAAGTGGTTAAACTCTAAAGGAAAGAAAATATTTTTTTGGCGCAAGTAATTAATTCATGGATTATTTTTTCAGGGAAAAAAAAAAAAAAATTACGAAAATCCGTTTTTAAAATTATTGCGAAAAATCCAAGAAGAAACGTCCTTTGATAAAACGTTTCTTCTTGAATTTTTCGCAATAATTTAAAAACAGATTTTCGTAGTTTTCTTTTTGTCAAAAAGCATTTCTTCTTAACACGTGTTTCTCAATTTCCTGTACACATCGCGGAGAGGGAAATTCTGGCCGCTAGGTTCCGTCGCCAAATCCCTTGGCAAATTTTCCCTCCGCATTCTAGCGGCGTAATAGCATTTTACTGGTATGGAACCTTTTCTTCTTTACATAGACATTCTTTGGTTAGAATAATAATGGGATTTGGCGACATCTTGATGCGCAGTAAACGGGTCATTTTGGTCTTGGTGACAATTTTCAAAATTGTGCCAAAGCCTTACCGTATACTAGAATTTTACCGCAAAATCTTTTTAAACCTTTTTTTTCCTTTTTAATAAATACCTTACCGTTTTTCAGTAAAATAAAAAAATAGTAATCAGTCATCTAGGCTAGCCATGTAATATAACTATATTCGCTAAAATATCGTTGATTATTCTAATTCAATTTTTAAGTAATTATTTTTATGTTATTCATATAATTTAATGTCGCTTCTTCCCTCTAAATTTATTTATTATTAGTAAATAATATTTCCAAATTTCAGGAAATTTTCTCTGGCATAATCCTGAAATTAATTATAGCAGTATGATGACATACCAAATTTAATACAAATTTAATGCACACATTTTTTCCTTATGTATGCTGCGAAATAAATATAAAATACCTCAATTTATTAAAATAGATTTCTTTCTTTCGCTTAGCTGCAGAATGTCTGCAAAAAAAGCCTTATTTTATTCCAGATTGGAAAGATTCTAATCTCAATCTTCAGTGGAGAAAACAACAACTATTATAATTATATTTGTGTTTTCAAGTGTTAAGGTGCCTTTTAAGAACATACCTCACGCAAATTAAATTTACCTAAAATCTAACCTAACTATTTAGCATTGCGTTGTGATTTATAAGGATCGGATTATCCTCGTGTTGAACTGGTGATGATCATGAGTAATAATTAAATAAAGCATACATTTGTTATTCAATATATATATATCTTAAATTTTATTAAGTTTCTTAAGTGGAAAACTAAACAAAATTATCAAACAAAGTATACCAAGAATAATTAAGAATAAATGTCCTCTGGGATTTATTGAATAATTAAGAAAATTTGCTACACAATACAAGTAATAAGATAATTAATTTACCTCTTAGCACAGCCAACGTACATTACGCGGATAGACTGGAATTTTCTTGAAACACACCTGGAAAACCTGGAAAAGTCAGGGAATTTCATTCTCCTGTTTGAGTGGCAACCCTGAGAAGAGTTTTTTTTTTTTTTTTAAGTTTCTTATAGGGCAGAGAACTTATAGGATAGCCAAGTGTTTAGAAGCTGAAGTAGGCAGTAGGTTGTAAATCACAACACTACCTGATCCTCGTAAAATTTGATCAGTTTGTATTTACTTTGGTATTATGGCTTTGCATAATTTATCAGAGAAGTCTCCCCCTTTCTGTTATATATAATATTCTATAAATATTGTGATGATTGAGTGATAACTACAGTGGATTAGGCAATACTATGTTGTTAGAATGATAACTCATTGTATTAATTTGGCAAAAGATGGTAATGTCATATTCCCACAATTTTGTATAGTTTAGCAAATTTTTAGATAGTGGACTAAGCAGAGCACCAAACGATGTGTATTAGCAGTAGTAAGGTCCAAGTGAGAAAAAGAGGGGAAGTAAGTGCACATTCAGAAAAATAGTCAAAAGGTCCCTTAATCTAATTGGATAAAAGCTGTTACATTGCAGGACTACATTTGCAAGCATCAAATGTATTAATTTTGAAAAGACAGTTCAGTAAAAATATTATAAACAATTTCTACTTTTAAAACTGAAAGGAGAAATATACAAATTAAAATGAAGAATTACGGAGCTATTGTTAATTTAAGATGTAATTTTGAATTACATATTTTAGAGTTTATACACACACACAGATATATATTATATATATATATTTATTTATTCCATATTCAACTTGCACTGTTACTGAGGGAAATTTTAATTTATCTGGCAAACATGTAAACGGAAGTAGAAGGGTCTGAAATAAGCAAATTTGGTAATGGATTGTGTGTACAGAAATGCCATGGTAAGCTAGTACAAGATTCTGTTTAGCAGTTGGTAAAAGCATTATTTTTATGTTAATTGTCATTCTCCTTGCAAATTCCAAATGGTTGGATCAGTTTATGTAAGCAGAGTTGATTGATTTCATTTAATCTGTGGGGCTGCTCAAAGGAGATATTTGGGAATTATGCTCTGTATCTGCTTTGAGTAGCTGCTTCATTTTAGCTGTAGCTCCATAAAAAAAATGCATTAATTATCTTGCAAGTGTTGGGGGGTATATATATTTAAAGATAAAGACAGAGTGGAGAGGTTTTTAAAGTTTTAAAACTTCTTTAATATAATTTTTCATGTATTTATTAAAAAATGAAACTTAATGTCTCTTATTATGCAATAGCCAAATTTCATATTGTATAAGTTATAGTATGTGTATAAAGTGCCTCAAAACTCTTTGTGCAGACTTTGGAAGGTAGAAACATTGATATGAACCATAGTCACATAGAAAAACATGATCAGATATACCACCAGGTAAATGTCTTTATTCTGCAATAGCCAAATTTCATGCTGTGTCGCAAAACTATGTACAGACTTTGAGGGGAGATAAAGGACATTGATATGAACCATAGTCACATAAACAAACATGACTTGATCTGCCACCTGCTGGAGACACACAGTCAAAAACAGTACAGGAAACTGTATAAAGTGCTTTATTAGGCAAAATGTAACAGTTTACCTACTGGTAGACACAGGATATGGTTTCACATGAGGGGTTCAATTTCTGACCATTTGCAATGATGCATGCCTGACACCGATGCAGCATAGATGGCTGAACATTTTCAGATACCTTTAGTTTCATGCATATTAGCAATGGTAATAGCAGTTCTGGCCATAATGGTTAATGTGTACACAATAATCTTGAAGGTCCCTGCATGGAAAGAAGAGCTGTGCAAATGAATTGGGCAATATATCTACCATCTATCAATTCAATTCTGAATCAAATATTCTTATACCTGACTGGCATAATTAGCTGGAATCCAGTCATGTTGGAACTACTACTGCTAACTCACAGACATTGGAATATCATTTGGTATCAGGTAGAACTTTTCCCAGTAATGTCCAATACTTCCAAGGCATCTTGTCAGACTGTTAATATATGTAATCCAACTAAATAGTCATCTTCTCACTACCTTACTGTGCATTAGGTTAGGTTTGGTTATTTTAATTACGGCAAAGCCTCGAGGGCTATCTGCCTAAGGGGAGGGATGCCTTCGTGGAGGACTTTCTAAGGGGAACTGGCTCGTATACACGTTACACATGGGGAAACCCACGAAAACACCCATGCAGCCAGCCCATTCGCGGGATTCAAACCTCGGACCAAACTACCAGTGTTCAGCGACTTTACCGCTTTGCCGCTGGTGGGCTACTGTACATTAATAATGAAGTAATGTTATGTTGCTCACAATCATATGATGCGAAGGTTTGTGTGTGCTTACATGCAGGCATTGTGGAAACCAAGGGCATTTTTATAAGAAAAGGTCTTACCCCCATTAACATAACACAATATGGGAATTCCAGATTACCCTAACTTTGCTACAGAAACCACTATGTAAATGCCACATGACACAAATAACTTAACTTAGCAATCCATATAAATCAAAATAAAGCTTATTTAGATCTAGATGGATTGGCTATGTCAATGCCCTATCAGAATAAAAACACTTCTATTATTTTTTCAAAATTGGAATAAATTTCTTCTATGCTTTAATTAGTATAAATATACCTGTTTTATTTGATAATATATCTGTAACTATTTCTAAAGGAGGTTAAGTGATAGTTTTGAAATATATGATCAAAGTAAATTTAATATTTGAGTAAATTCATTTTAAATGTATTTTAGTGATGTATTAATAAAAATGTTTTAATTTTTGTATTAAATGTTACCAGCTTAAAAAAAATATATAACATTTGCTGTAGTAAAAAAATGAAAATTATTTTTGTCTTTCCTGAGAATTTCAGCATAGTTCTCCTAAATATGCTTGTTTCTGTAGGTTCTAGTCATAATTCAAAAGTAGATGAAGAGGAGGATGAAGAGGTTGCCGAAGAAGAATCCTCAGGTAAATTTTATGCACATATTATTTAAATAAAACTATACTCTTTGAATATTATAATAAATCAAAATCATTTTTATTTTTCAAATGCCAGTTACATTGGCGGTTTGGCCATTAAACTCCTTGCTTGCCAATAGACAAGAAAAATTTGCCAGTGCTTCACATTCGTCCAAATGTTCCGCCATCATTGGCCGTCCTAATGTTCCGCCATCATTGGCCGTCCACTATTACATGAAACACACAATAACAAATCAGCTAGTCCGATCCAAAATAAATGATTCTGTAGACAGTCATGTCCCGTCAATAGTCTAAAAGATGCAACCGCAATTGTTCGCGGATGGTCGGGAACAAAAGCTGGGTTAGTTGAGAGAACATTCCAAGGCTTGCCCTCACAAGCCCGAGTGGCAAAATCTCTAAAAAGACTTTAGATAGGTTAGCGATGTCAGAAGCTTAATAGAATGGAGGCTTGCACTTGTTTTTGGCTTTTATAACCCCCTTTTTCGCAAGCATATCAGCCATCTCATTCCCATAAATACCGCAGTGTGAAGGTGCCCATTGAAAAGATATCTTATGGGAAAGTTCTTTTATGACTTCCTGACACTGTTGAACACATATGTTCTTACACTCTTGGTAAGAGGAGATGGCCTGTATTGCTGAAGTCGAATCAGACAGTACAACAGCTCTCCTGAACGAGCTCTGTCTCAATGATAATTGTTGGAAAGCTACATGAATGGCTTTCAGTTCTTCATCAAAGTAAATGAAGTAAGCCCCTACAGGTATGTAGAAACTGAAAAGCCTGCTGAAAACTTCAGCCCCAGCCCCCTGGATCCTATCAGTCAAAGAGCCATCCATATATATATGTATCCATTCCTCAGCTGGAAAACATTGCTCAATTGTTTCCAAAACTATAGTTCTTATTTGCTCTGGACTCATTTCCTTCTTATCTACTTTTATTTCCAGGTCCAACCGCACATCAAGGAAGCTATAATCCAAAGGATTTAGCAAAAAACAGCAGCGCCGGTTTCAGTGTTCTTATATGATTGTATTGTTCTAGACAAGAAATATACCGCAGAAAGCCATTTTGTGCCATCAGATTTCATTGTTTATTATAATCTGAATCAAAATCAAGCTATATAGTTTAATGTATTGTGGTGTAGTGGTCGAATCTGCTGCCCAAAGCCCCTGTTGAGTTCAGACGAACTTCCAACTTAAGTTATGAACAGTAACATGAATTGTAAGAAGTTTTAGTTCTAGTGGGTCAATGCCTGCAGTGCCAGCAGGAAAGTCCTACCAGCCAGTGCTCTTCTTAATAAACAACATCCTCTCTTGCTGCAAAAACTTTGCTCTCTCATGGTGTCATTACCGCCGCTGAATCCGGGGGGGGGATTCCTCCACTGGTAGATAGGAAAGGGCGACCACATTCTGACCCCAATGTGATTTCTTTATCCCTGGAACCACTGGAGTGAGCTTGACTTGGCGGGTGAAAGCAGTATAATTAACAATTGGACCTCACTGCAACAGGATTTTTTTCTCTGGTGTGAAAGAGGCACAGTTGCATTTGGAATTGAATCCTCCTGGGCGAAACCAGACAAAGAACATCTATATGACCTTGTCACAACTCCTCCCCTCATAGAAGAATTTTCCTAGGCCATGGAAAGGAAAATTCTGTGTTTTTTCACTGTCTCCAGAACAAAAGTGATAACCATTCAAGTAATAATAGAGAAGCCACTTTACCTCCACTTATTCCTAGATCACACCCCCTTAAGACAGTTAACATAAAAGCAAAAATACAAAAAAAAAAAAAAAAAAAAAAAAAAAAAAAAAAAAAAAGGGTATTTAAACTGCTGCTATTGTGTGCCTGACACAAAATACATTACTCAGTTTTGGAGAGGAATTCCCAGTTCCCAATTCAAAACTGAGCCTTCCCCAAATTTTCTAAAATTTACTAAATTTGGATAAGAGCAATTGATTTTAACAATTTTAAAAAAAAAAAAACACATGATGCCAACAATTTTGAATTTTAAAAAATATAATGATAGTTTTCCTCAATTTTCAGTGCACTAGGAAATTTTTTACTGTGACATTCGGTTGGCTGCTAAACTGAAGCACAACTCAACCCATCTGCATTACCATGTAATTTGCCTGGCATATGAATAATTTCAAAATTGCTCTGCTGGAGACACAAGTCAAAAAAAGAATTTGATCCCGTTATAAGAAAGTTAACGGACTATGATACATCTGGATCTTAAATTTTTGTCTGTCTAAATAATGGTTTAGTTTCTTTAGTCTCAATCAATGTCCACTAGCTGCCTTTTAACAGTGCTCAGTCTTAGAAAAAATTTTATTAAGATAGAGTGCAGGGTGTTCTTCCTCATCCTGAACGTGAGACAGCATGATATAAGCTAACATCGGTCTGCACAGGAAATTCATTAAAGTACTCTGGTGCAAATAAAACCTAACTTTATACTAATTTGGTCTTAAGTCTGTTTAAAGCCTCATCGCACTCTTATTACCTGTATCCAAATTACCTTTTCCTTTTTATTTTTGCCCTTCAAAGCGTCTGCCAGAGCCCCCTGAATATGCACATAGTCTTTTAAATACCTTGCATAGTAGCCCGCAATACCGAGGTAGCTACTTATCTGCGTTTTAATAATAGGGCTTAGAAAATCTCTGAGTGTCTGAATTTTGACGTTTTTCCAGACCCTACCTCATGATCCAGAAATTTTGCGTGATCTTGGGCAAATCTTTATTTAGAGGGCTTAACTTTCAGTTTAGCCTCCTGAAGGTGACATAAGACAACATCTAAATCTTTCATATGTCTTTCCTAACTCGGCAAAAAGATTGCAATGCCATTAATATATGATCTAACCCTTCTAAAATAAGAGCAATCAGTATACAAAAAAAGAAGGGCACATTTAAGAGCCCAAACATTTTCTTTGGGATGAAAGAACCAAAAGGTTATAAATGCAGCATACCTATGTGCACCTTCTGTGAGTGGTATCTGGAAATACCCTTTGGTTAGATCTGTGATGGTGATAAACAGGGCTGCGCTGACCTTTACTACAACTTCTTCTATATTGAAAACAGAGCAAAATTCTGTCAGATTTTGCTTCGTATAATCTATACAAGTGCAGAGATCTTTGTCTGGAACCCCTAGTAAGATAATAGGTGAAGCATAATTAGATTACCCAACATCCCTAATCCATAACTCAAGCAACTGCTTAATTTCCTTCTTTAAGATGTCGGTTTGTCTCGCCAACATTCAGTAAGGCCCAGCTCTAACTGGTGTCTCATTCAATAATTTGCCCATTTCAACCAAAGGCATATAGCAGGGGTCAAATGAAGACATTACCCCATACTTCTCTATAATTTCCTGGAATTTTCCTGTTTTCTCTGTCGAAGCTCTTTTCTTCAACTAACGATCTCCAACTATTTTCCAAAAATCTATCTTTATTGGATCAGCCGAAGGAACAAGGAATATGAGCCTGTCCCTCAATATCCCCCACGCCCTCCTCCATCGTCAGATTCACAAACTCAGGGTGCTGATTATCCTCTCAACAGCCAGCTTTTGGCTTCTGATACTCTTTTAGTTTATTTATTAAGTCTAAAACATACTCGAACATTGTGGGTCTGAACTTTCTTCCTGTAGTCAATTTTTTATACACGATTGTTTTCGGTGTTCTCAAATTCTCCTGTGTGCCAGCTCACAGGGACTAAAACAACCTGTGCTCTTGTGGCTGACAGTTCTGAGGGCGAACAAAGAACGGGGCAAGCATTCTTCCCCAGTCCTTACCGTTTTCCAAAGCCTTCAATACACTTTTCAGGGTGGAATACAACCTTTCAACAGAATTGCTTTGACACGCGGAAGAGTGGTACACCTTAATCCCGAACTTATTAAAAAAACTCCGATGTAAGTTCACTAACAAACGATCTTCTCAAATCACATTGAATCTCTTTAGGGTAACAAGATCTACAAAAGATTTCTATTAAAGCTTGAATTACAGTAGTGGCCAAAATTGTGGACACTTTTGGAAATTTTTATGTTTTTGAACTTTGTATGCTTATAGAAAAATGTTACGTTTCGCAAAATGCAAACTTGTATATATCATTTTAAAGAGAATTTATTACTGAATTCAATACAAAACACAAAATTCAATTATTTGCAATAAAAAAAAAGTTATATGTACTTTAATATAAATAAAAAACACAGTTATGACGTGGTTTGTAATTTCTAGCTTTCCAAGCCAATCACTGTTCTTCTTCTGAGAACCAATCAAACGTTAGTAATTGCCAGTAGAAGCTGACATCACTTTTATACTTGAAACAATTCATTATTTTACTTTGTTCTCTAGAAGGAAGACCTGTTTCTTATACACTGCAATTACAAGTAGGAATTTCTGTAAAAATTTTTAATATTTAGTCAAGAAGCAATGACATCGAATAAAGAGTAGATTGGACACCTAGAAAGAGATGCAATATTATTGTGCTACGAGAAAGTGGTCTTTCCTATGCTGAAATTGCAAGACAGGTGGGTGGTTCACTGACTACATCTGGAGTCCGAAAGTTTTGTTTACGAAATCAGGAGACAAATTCAATAAAAAACAAAGAAGGAAAAGGACGAAAAAGGTGCACCACATCTATTGATGACAGAAGAATAAAAAGACTATGTCTCCAAGATAGAAAAATGTCATCGGCGGCCATCAGAAGTAATCTGAATGATGCTGGTGTTTTTGTCAGTTAAAGAACAATCAGGAGAAGATTAGCAGATGTTGGACTGAGAGGTAGAATTCCACGAAAAAAGCCTTATCTTAATTTTTCAGCAACGAAAAAAAAAAAAAAAAAAGACTACATTGTGCAAAGGAACACATTAATTAGACAGATGATCAGTGGTCACAAGTTATATGGAGTGATGAAACTAAGATATCGTTAGTTGGTAGTGATGGGCGAAAATAGTAAGACTTAGAATAGGAGAAGAGCTACATCCTGACTGCATTCAAGCAACTGTGAAGAACCCAGTTAGTGTTATGATTTGGTCATGCATGTCAGCAGATGGTATTGGTCGCCTTTATGTGGTCGATGGGACACTGAATGCCAGAAAATACATTAACACTATTCTAGAACCAAAACTTCTACCTTCCATCAGAGATCTCTTTCCCAACAATGCTTCGTTTATTTTTCAGCAGGATTCTGCTCCTTGCCACATGGCCAAAATATCGAAAGAGTGGTTTCGTACAAAGAGCATTAAATTGTTGTCATGGCCTGGAAACTCCTGACCTTAATCCTATCGAAAATTTGTGGCAACGTTTGAAAACTCTTGTCCGAATGAGGTGCCCATCATATAAAAGGGAACGAATTGAGGCTATAATTGTTTCCTGGCATTATGTAATAACGAAGAAGAGCTTAAAACTCTTCTCAGCTCAATGAAACGTCGATGTGAAGCTGTAATAAAAAATAAAGGGTACCCTACTAAGTACTGATAACTCACTGTAATCATCACTATCTAATGTATATCGATAACTATTATCGTTTAACTTTTTTTGTATTAGGCAAATAATTGAATTTTGTGTTTTGTATTAAATTCAGTAATAAATTCTCTTTAAAATGATATATACAAGTTTGCAATTTGTGAAACGTAACATTTTCTATAAGCATACAAAGTTCAAAAACATAAAAATTTCCAAAAGTGTCCACAATTTTGGCCACCACTGTACATGCTTAGAGCTTAAATTCTGCACAGAAATGGAATCTGGATATTTAGAAGCAACACAAATTGACATAATTGGGTATTTATTTTTATGTGAACTAGGAATCAGAGGTCCTACTGCACCGATATTTAATCTGCTATAAACTTCTGATATGATGGGTGTAATCTTCATTGGAACTTTCTTTTTATCCATATTGTAATCTGTACCCTGACAAATATCACATGTCCTCCCTCACAAATTCTTCAATTTCTTTGTAACAATTAGGCCAGAAATAGTATGTCAAAACTCTGTCCTTGGTTTTTGTTACCCTTAAATGACTGGCTATTTCCTTGTGGCATTATGTCAAGATCCCTTCCCTAAAAACTACAGGCACGTAGAGCTGAAGCTTATCATCCCCTTTCTTAGAACCTGCCTCTCTGACTAGCATCCCCTTTACAATTCTCAACTCCTTTTCCTTTTTGCTTTCCCCTTTCTTCCACAGGGCTGCTAAACTGGTGCATCCCTTTTGGTCATGCGCAAATTCTGCTGGCGAAATATCTACAAAAATAGACTTTTCTGTTGAACTGATGATTGAAATTTCAGTGAATTCCTCTTTATTACTTGTTTACTTCCCTTCTTCCGAAATTTCAATCCTAAACTTACTTTCAGAAATCATCCTAAATGCTGTGTGGTGGTAGAAGAAGAGAGGTGGGAGATGCTTGAACCTGTCCCTCGGGGTGCTGTCTCTCAAAATTGGAGGGGAGGAATAAGCTAAGTCATGCTGTCACCTATATGGTGCTCAGGGGTCTTGCCAACGTCAGGTGTATTTGACTCCTTGCCGCAATGAATGCTGTAAGCTTGTGCTGACCATTGTAGGACAAGCCAGAGTGATGATAACAACATAACAAGACACAGTTTTTATATGTATTTTATTTCATGAATATAGTATTAGTGACATATTACCATTTTGTACAAGACTATAATACAAATTTTAAATTACTGCTTAATAATTAAAATTTACATATTGTCTTTATTATTATTACTTATTTAAATCATGCTTTATTTGGATTTTTAAAACACAAATTGGTTGTATTATTGTTACCTATATTGACCATGACAGTTGCATTTTAAAACAGAGGAAGAAGTGGAAGAAGCTAAACCAGATGTTAAAGTTCCTGTGGAGAATCTTTCCAAGAAGGGCACATCACCAGTTAAGCAACCAGTTTCTGATCCTGCACCTAAACTTCCTACTTATCTACCAGCTATACAAGGTTGCCGCAGTGTTGAAGAATTTCATTGTCTGAATAGAATAGAAGAAGGAACTTATGGGGTTGTATATAGAGCACGAGATAAACGAACTGGTAACAAAATCATTCGGATTATTTATTTATTGGCAAATATGAGAAAGATGTTAAGCGATACTTTTTAGCTAAGTGTTTTACGTGCAAGATTTGTACTGTCCTTAAAATTTGTTAGTTTATAACTTTTAGAGATCCTTACAATATAATCATCTTGTAGTTAAAAAACTAAATTATAATTTGTTATCAAATTCAGAATACAAAAATATTTGGTGCCTCCTGGTTCACTTCTTCACCTTCTGAATATTCAATATAATTGCCATGTTTTTTTTAAATATATTTTTGAGTTTACGTGCAAGAATAGCAAGTACATATTATGCATCTGTTTGAGTGCATGTAAATTTATATGTTTAGCTGTTTTTCGCTGAATATTATCCACTGGATGTAAAAGCATAAATAACCAGCATTAAAAATATTCCGGTTAATCTTTGGATTATGGTAACTTGGCGATTTTTTGGCAAAAATTTGCCGACCAATCCTGCTACAGCAATCTGCTAGTTTTTTTTTTTTTTTTTTTTGAGCCATTTTGTTTTCACGAAGTAAAGGCATGGGTTTTTTTTTTTTTTTAACTCAACATTTTTTTTCAACAATCTGCTAGCCGAATCATGCTTATGCTAAAACTTTTATGGAACAAAAGTGCTTAATCATGACGAAGATTTAGTGCGAAATCGGGAGAAAGTGCAGAATCGCCCACTGCTTGCCGCATTTTTAAGAATTGCACATACACAGTATCCATGTACACGTCGACCTATTTTCACTTAAAAGAACATCCCGGAATTGCACAAAAATGGCATTGCGCACACTCTTGACTTTATCCATGTACACTGCTAAAGTCCTAGCTAGTAACCTCTATCGCCTTACCAAAATGTCGCCAAACTACCTGTTACCATATTCCAAAGATTAGCCAATATTTCTTATTCTCTTAATTTTTTTTTCATTAAAAATGTTTCTTTTTATTATTATGTATGAACATAACAATATCTACCTATGCTTTGTCAACTCTATATGGATTGGAAATAATCAAGAAGTGCCAAACATTTTAAAAGCATTGAAAGCCTCCCCCCAAAAGTAAATATTTTAGGGAGAAATAGGTTATTGTTTGATTCGTTATCATATGTGCACCTATTCCTAGTTGGAAGAATATTTTTAGCTATTCACAGATACTATTTATAACCACAAATACTATTTACATATTGTTATCATGTGATGAGTATTTAATAAAAATAAATTTTTGACCTTTATTTCATTTTTTGTTCTTGTCTTTTAAATTGCTAAATTCTTAACAGTGTTGGAGTAAAACTTAATACAGTGCAAAGTCCGAAATCCAGACTCATCGATACCTCGGAGATTCTGGATTTGAGATTTTTCCAGATATTAGATCATCAGTTTAAATCTAGTAAGATGGCATGTAGAAATTATAAAATTAAAAATATGAAATTGGGATTTATGAAATAATGAAGTATTTTTATCTAAAGGGTATCAAAATTTACAAAAAAAAAAAAAAAAAAAAAAAAAAAAAAGTTAATATTTATATTAAACATTTCTTTCAGAGTAAGTTGTTTAAGTTGCTTCGTTTTTTGTGCTAATACTTTCTCTTTAATTTTGTAGACAGACATAATCTCTTGTTTAGTTACATTGTTGAAGTCCTGTAACTGCTGTTTGGAGAATTCCGACTAACTTGTCAATCGAAATTTTCTCGTTTTCAGTAACTTCTCTGTCACTTTCTTCACTATCGGTAGCGGTATTTTCTGGATCTAGAACAGATTTCGCCATTCGTTAATTGATTGATGATTGAGAAGCATTGTCATCACAATGAAAAACTTCTTTTATATCATCTTCATTTATTACTGCTTCTCTAACATTTCTTTACAAAAATCTGTTAATTGGAAAATTTCACCTTTGTTTAGCGATATATGAAAACCTTTAAAATTCGCGGCTATCATCATCAGATTTATTGGCTATACATCATGAGCTTGGCGACTAACGACAAGTTGTTCCATTAAATTTTATCTTGCTTCTATCCTGCACTGAGACAATTAAGCCTGAATTGTATTATTTTAGTTATTTATTATACTTATGTCTATTTCTTGCACATGCTGAAGGCTTATCAGAGTTCTGAACAAATAAATTCCCACATATATTGAGGGCCGGCACTAGATATCTTACAGCCTGATGCAGTCTCTGTGGGTCCTAAATTCTGCGACTGAGTGCAACCATACGAGCCCTTGCGCTGGTTCTGGGTTTATGTGAATAACAAATCAGTTATTCTTAATTCAAATAGCCCTAAATGTAATCTTTGGGCGTATGAGTATCCTCAACAAAATGTATTTTTAGTATATGGAAAGAAATTTTTGGTAAATTTTTCCTCGCCAACATTTTAGCCCATTTAACTTAAATCTGTAATCTTCGCCAAGCGATAAAAACGCTCATCGTCAACATAAAAGTTTACTATACTGCTTTAAATACTAACAATTAAATACTGCAATTACTAACATAAAAAAAAAAAAAAATTGTTTAGGCATCACTATATGAGTCATTACTCAAATTGTCATGTTTTGCGGTGATGAAAGGAAAGTATAATAATGATTCGCCAATTTGGTGTCAGATCAACAATGTGGAATGTTTCAGTTTGAGATGTGTGCCAAGTACGGGCACAGCAATGGAGCCAAATCCCTGATGGTACAAATTTATGCTAAAATGATTGTTTCTTCAATAACAAGGTATTTTATTTAGTGTTGAAGTGAAATCAAGAATTCGGACTCTCCAGATATTTTATTATGCTCAGAGGGGGAAATCAAATGCGCATGCCTAAAGCCTACGAGAAAAACTTTGTCGGTGGCTTTGAGGTCTGAATTTTAGATCATTCCGGATAATGGATGTCCAGATTTTGGACTTTGTACTTTACAATCTGTTGCAAAAAGAATATGTGCGCCCGCAAAGAACTGATTGACAACTACAAAACTCAGCATTAGTGTAGTATTCGAGTATATAAACAAATTATTGAAAACTGGGGTGAAAAAATCATTTTATTACGAGTAACTGATACTCGGACGTGGAGTATCATGAAAGGTAAATGAAATTCCGTATCTCAATTTTTTGTGAATTTTTTCAGTTTTCCGAAATCTGTGTAAATTATTCTTCTGTTTTCAGTTACTGAGTGCCACAAATCTAGATTACTTTATCCTATTTATTTTTGCTTGAAATAATATACACTTCCTCTACATTACTCATAGTTTAAATTTAAAATTCTGCCCAACCCCATTCACATTATAAATTTTTCAAATTATCCATTTGAAGAGCTATTCTTAAGTTTCATTATTTTTATCTCTTATATCGTAATTAAAAGTGATAAATTTGTTTATTTTCCTTTCTTAATTTTTATAAAGCATTTTTCTATAAATATATTAGTATATGTATGTAGACAAAATGCATATGTGAAGTTATATAAACATTATACAAATTAATTCAATGAAGCAATATATTAATTCTCAAAGCTTCTTTAAAAAACACCAGAGTACACTGTTAAAGAATACCTATACAGCATGTTTAAAGGTAAGGTAGAGTAATAGTATTTTTCCCCAGTTCTTGCTTGTGTATTAATTTACAAGATATTGATAGCTGAATCATAAATTGTCAATGTGAAGGTTTTATTTAAAGATAATACATTATTAATTAATAGAAAAAAAACAGTTTTTGTGTATCTATTTGAATTAAATATTGCAGATCTAAAAAATAATTTAAAAAAAATTTAAATTAAAAAAAAAAAAAAAAAAAAAAAAAAAAAACTTGGAGGGATTTCTGATGTTAATTTATATTCAGGATTTCTCTCTCAGTTCTAAGTCTTCAGAAAATGCTTAAATTAGTTCTTTAAGCTGTCCTTTTGTAGAGAGACTTGTGACTAATCAGTGTTTGTCACATGAACTTTCTATCTTCATTGTAGTTTTTGCCTTAATTACAATGATTATGTTGGTAATTACAAATGTGATTGTAAATTCACAATGTTTCTTCATTTTCCTTGGAAATCAGTTCTGAATTACATATATAATTTTTACTTTTGTTGATCTGGATTATCTGACATCTGCATTAATATATCTGGTTCAATGCAATTAACTACAGTACAAAGTCTGTAATCCAGACATCCATTATCCAGAATGATCTATAATCCAGACTCAAAGCCACAAACTTACGCATGCACATAAAGCGTTTACACATGCGCGTTTAATGCGTGTAGCGTTTATCCATGCGCGCTTCTGATAGTAAAGAAAGTGAAAGAGGTTATTGAAAATGAAAAAAATTTCAATTGACAAGTTAGTCGGTATTCTCGGCACAGCAATTACGGTAGAATTGAACAGTAGAACTTTGTAACTGAACAAGAAATTATGTCTTTTTATAGAATTAAAGAGAAAGTGTTAGCACAAAAAATGAAGCAACTTAAACAACTTACATTGAAAGAAATGTTTAATAAAGTAAACAAATAAATATTAAGTTTTTTTTTTTTTTTTTTGTAAATTTTGATACCCTTTAGATCATAATTTCTCTTTATTTCATAAATTACGGTTTCATATTTTTAATTGTAGAATTTCTGCATGCCATCTTACTAGATTTAAATTGATGATCTATAATCCAGAAAAACTCTTAATCTGGACTCAAAGTCCCGACGAGTTCGAATTACGGACTTTTTACTGTATTATATTACTAGGAATAAAAAATACTCTCTTTAAGAATATACCATCATCCATTGTTGATTTAATAAAAGTATGTACATATTTTTCCCCCAGATGAAATTGTTGCTTTAAAAAGATTAAAAATGGAGAAAGAAAAGGAAGGATTTCCAATTACTTCATTGAGAGAAATAAACACGTTGCTGAAAGCTCAACATCCAAATATTGTTACTGTTCGGGTGAGTAAAGAAGGAATGTTTGTAAATATATTTATATTAATACCATTTTGGCTATTAAATGTAAAGAAATGTTAATATGTTACTTATGTGTTTATTTTATAACATATGAAGTTTATAAATAGTATCCATGCAATTTTTTAATTAATTTAATTGAAAACTATTGTGTTGTAAAATTCATTATATTGAGACATTTTTGGTTTGCACTTTTTACGCTAATATTATAATAAAAGTTGCTCTTTTTAAAATATATTCATTTCCTGTAATAGCATCATAAGCTATCAGGACTGACCAAGGGCCAATGATTTACATTTATGGTACTCATTTGTATATTGCATTGGTTTTATATTTTTTTACAATGGCAATGGTGAAGAATAAAGGGTTACTCCTGTGTATATATTATTAAATGCAAACATTTTAAATGTACATGTGTTGTCAGTATAATTTTTTTTAACTTGCCAATAAATATTTTGTGACATTATCCTGCCCTGCATAATAAATGAAGCTGCATTGTATTTGTAAGTTCAAAAAATGAAAAATGTATAAATCTTTTTCATAATGAAGCATTAAGAATGAAAAATTTTTGGTTAATTTTATAATCAGTTAATAAATTTTGATTGCATGGTGTGAAGCTAAAAGTTAATTATTTTTCCTATTTTTAAATTTATAATTGAGATTTTAGTTTTGTTGTGAATTTATGGTGCTTTAGTAGATTTTTTCGGTATTTTCTGATTATCTGTCTAAGCTTCCTAAAAAGTCATTCAGTTATTGGCAACTAAATTGTCACCAACTTAAAATGTGAAAGACAACAGCCATTTTTTTTTTTTTTTTAAATGGTGGTACACGGTAATTACATAGAACAGCAACCAATTAACACCTCCCCGGCACAACTAACTGAATTAATGACCTGCTAATGACCGAAACGCCTTCGCATGGACCTCCGACCTAAGGTTCAACACCAATCAGAGTTATGCCCATGCAACGGAAAAGAATCTATCATCCACTAACGGTAGCATTCACTGAATCATTGATAGTAATATTACAATGCTAAATTGACTATGTCATCTATACAATAATTGTTACATAATAATCCATATGAAAAATAAATATACAATCAATAAATCATAATCATTACTTTCTCATGGATAGGATCTATGTTATGGAGAGTGGAACTTGTATATTAACCAATTTCTATGTCTTCTTCAGTACATCATAACTTTATGTTCTTATCAGTTATACACCTAATGATGTGTGTCCGTAATATTGTTGCAGTTATCCATAGAGTAGGCCAGTCACATCAGTTCAGGCAGTTGATAGTTCCATAGCCCAAAGTATATGATGTTGTGTAGACTATTCTATGTTCATATAAACTGGATTCTAAGTTAACTTTTGATAAATTCGAATTACACTTTTGTTAAGTTCATTGTTCACGTAAATACTACTTGTCCACTTCGATACGTAATAGCTTTGTGTCCTTAACAGTTTGCACACCTCATTATGTGTGTCCATAGCACTTTGCACACTGTGTCGCAATTATCCACAAAGCAATCACGAAATAGCAGTTGGGAAGTTCATTGTAATATGTACACTATTTTACTATTATCGACAGAAGCAAATGTTTTGTAAATAATAACTTGGCTCCCAAATGATTAAAGAAAAAGAGGGAAGAAAACTAATTCTTAAATGTTGTCAATACAATTCTAAATTGTGCAAAACTACATATCTATTTATAATGATTCTTATCTATCTAAATCAATTCTTATCTAGGTAATAATTTATCTTAATTATAGAATAAATGCCCTCCAGTGGTTAGTAACCCTGACTGCCGTAGTAATGGGCCAGGGTTTGAATCCCGGAGAAGGCATGGTTGTAACTCTCCATCCTTTCATAGGAGGCAACATTATGGCCATCTGTTTAGGTGCCTCCATAATGAAATGGCCACCACTTCCAACCCTTGTAATGGCACAAGACTAATGGCATTAAAATAAAGCACCCAGCCATTATATTAAAAATAATAATAATAATAATTAACAAATAAATGTAAGGTTCAGTACCTAATAAATTAAATATGAAGATACTCCAAACATAAAATTTATGATATAAATGTGCAAATTCAAGTTTTGTTTTAAATGCTTGATTTTTCCCTTTGCAGTAATTTATTGGTTAATTGTTAATATCCTTTTAAATTATATATATACATATATTTGACTAAATGAATTTTATTTAATTTAGTGTTATGTATTGTATTGAGAATGTATAGCAGTCCTACAGCAATTGCATAGGTAGAGCCTGTAATTCAACCCTATGTGTACTCAATAAAAGGGTTAGATGCATCAAGATTTGAAAATTTATTTTTATGTATATTATTAATATAAGATAGTTTCTCTTTGAAAATCTGCCACAAAACACTGCATCAAGTCAGGTATCCATAATACAGTCAAAAGTCGTTAATTCGGACACCCATAATCCATAATGATCTATAATCTGGACCTCAAAGCTAAAAACTTTCTGCGCATGCGCCTCATTGACACATGCGCTTTACGCGTTCACGTAAGACCTTTACGACTGCGCATATGCGTGTGCGCAAGCGCAGAATACGTTTTCGCGTGCACATTTTATGTATAACAGACAGTATAAGCTAAAATTATCTAATTATCTATTTCAGTTAATGTTGATGATTGCATTGTTCCTTAATCTTCGAATTGGATCCGCCTTATTACTTTTTGCAGACTGTAAGAGCAATTTTATAAAAGTAAACTTGAACTTTCGATTATGTCAAACAGAGTTTCCGATGCTGGAGCTCCCAAAGGATCTACAAAACGAAAGTATGTTTCGATGTCCATCAAACAAAAAGTGGAATTGCTGCAAAAAATCGATAAAGACATGAAGAAGGTGACAGAAAGGTTAGTGAAAACGAAAAAATTTTGGTTGACAAGTTAGTCGGTATTCTCAGCACAGCAATTACGGGACTTGGCACAGTGGAACTTTGTAACTGAACAAGAAATGATGTCTGTTTATAGAATTAAAGAGAAAGTATTATCACATAAAACGAAGCAACTTAAACAACTTACATTGAAAGAAATATTTAATAAAGTAAACAAATAAATATTAAGCTTTTTTTTTTTTTTTTTTTTTTTTTTTTTTTTTTGTAAATTTTTGATACCCTATAGATCATAATTTTTCTTTATTTCATAAATTACGGTTTCATATTTTTAATTTTAGAATTTCTGCATGCCATCTTACGAGATTTAAACTTATGATCTATAATCCGAAAAAATCGATAATCCGGAATCGTCGAAGTCCCGACGAGTCCAGATTAATGACTTTTGACTGTATTCTGACTATAATTAATCAACCACAACAATATTTCATGTTTGTACATTGATTTAAACTTTATGGAAAAAAAAAGTCAGCAAGTAAACTGAAATCCTGTAAATTGCATTTTATAGAAATCTTTTTTATATATTTTTCTGAAATTCATCTATTTGGATATCAATTTGTCAGAGTACCAAAGATAAAAAATTCTAAGTTATAAAAATTAGAATTTTATATTAATTTATCATTTCCTGTTATAATTTGAATTTCCATAATTTGGGTAATGTTCTGTGGTCTAGGTTTGAGAATATTGTGTGTAGTCATTTATAAACTACGTTATTCATGCCACTAAAAATAATCTTTTAAAGTCATTCTTCTCTTTCAAAATAAATGTATTTAAAATTTGAAAAAAGCATAAATACAAAGTAAAAAACAGTTCAAAACCTAATCCAGTTGCATGCTGAAAGCAGCAACAATTGATGGTAAATGTAAAAATGTATATGCATAGTAAATCAAGATTTTAAATACTCATTACAAACAGGTTTGTATTTAAAATGGTAAAGATTTACTTTTTCAATATGTGAAATATTATTTTAAATGATGTATTTTAAGTTTTGTTCTACATCTAATAATCATCACAAGCAAATGTTCTAAGAAAGCATTTATGTATACTTTAAATTAAGCTTACCACAATACATTGCATAAAAGTAAGAATATTTTGTTTGCTTTAAATTGTTAAAAATTTCTTAATTAAATTTAAATTATTTATAGGAAATTGTTGTTGGAAGTAATATGGACAAAATATACATTGTTATGGATTATGTAGAACATGACTTGAAAAGTTTGATGGAAACAATGAAGCAGCCGTTTTTGATTGGTAAGCTATCTAAAATCAAGTTTGGTATGTTTACATTAGAAAATTTTGTAACATTTTTTAAAATATTGAAAAAGTGGTAGTGTTCATTTAAATGTATTTTAGAAGGAAAAAAAAAATGGAAGTACAAAAATATAAACTTATAGGAATGTAACAAAACCTGCAAATTATTGTTACTTGTCTCTACTATAGTCTGCTACTTTAAGATAGGAATTTCAAGGTTATTTTTGGCAGCCTGATTTGACTCATGACAATGAGAACAGCTGTGTAAGAAAGGTCAACTGGCTTAATCCCCCCCTCTCCATGTCTGTTTAGCATGTCATGTTTTTTGCTTTGTAAAAAGCATGTGAATGAACTTGCTGACTTGGAAAAAATACATGCTGTGCAGTGATGATGATGTGAGTTGCATTCACAAATGGGGAATGGCAACAGCCTTGAAGTGCCTGTTTGAAAGTAACAGTCTGTTATAGGTTTCCATTAATGTATTAGATCATTATTAATTAAATGGGTTGGAAATAATGTATGAGAAGAAAATTTCAATATAGTATAAGTATAGTGAAATGAATAATGTGTATTTCAGAATTTTCTATTATGTGTTTCTTAAATAGTGTGCATCTAGAAAAAAGATTTTTAATACATTGTATTGGAAATTTTCCTCCTAGATATTTCATATTGAATTAGGAGTCTGTTTACAATTTTTGAAAAAGTGAAATTTGTGTTTTATGTGATTCATTAGGTGAAGTTAAAACACTTATGCTTCAACTGCTTTGTGCTGTCTCTCATTTGCATGACAACTGGATACTTCACCGAGACTTAAAAACATCAAATTTATTGCTTAGTCATAAAGGCATATTAAAGGTAATCACTGCTTTATGAATTTCAAAGCAATTTTAAAAAGTATTTTAAATTTTCTATTCTAATTCTGTATTTTATTTATTTATTTATTTATTTATTTATTGGTTGTGTCTGTGTTTTTTTATAATTTATTTTAGTTTCCCTGATATCCCTTAAAAAGTATTTGAATAATCTTCAGTTTGAGGTTTAAGTTTAGTCTGCAAAATATTATCTGATGATAGTAATCATAAAAGAGTATAATCAATAAAATATTGTAGCTTATATCAATACTAAAAAGAAAACTTGCTCCCAAGATATCCAGTTGTAAACAGTAGCCTTCTCAGAAGGGTACTTGAAAGAAGGGCATCTATCTCGTAGAAGAATTACTTTTTTGTTATAGTTTTGTATCGTTAGAAGTAAAATAAATAAAACTTGTAGTGTGAAAAACCTCACTTTGTAGTCTAACTCCTCAAAATTAAGTTTATTATATTTAAAAAAAAACTAATGAAAAATATGATCTTTTTTATTTGTGTGGGGGAAAAAAAAATAAAACCTTTTTGCTAGTCATAAAACTGAATCTTTACTGTTGAATAAAATTCAAATTGAAAAAGGTATTCCAGCCTTGAATTCTCATGTTTTCTTTAAAAAAATTACTTATATATATAAAATTTTTCATCTAGAATTACATAATGCATAGCTGCCAACTTTACTGGTTTTTCATTAATCTCCTAATTTTTAATTTTTAGCTTTATTATGGAAAATGTTTCCCAACAATAAATTAAATTGATTTTCTTTTATTTTTGAATTTATTGAATTTAATTAAATTAGTGAAATTTAAATTAGGCAAATTCCATTCTCCCCATGTGTAGTGCTTTTCAGAATAATTTTCTTGTTAAATTTTATTTCATCTGAAATGGGATTTTTCTTACAGTTTACAGATATTATTTAATTTTTCTCAGATTCAAGCAATGTTTAATCAGTGAGTATTTGTATTTAATTTTATTTTCATTGTTCACCCAACAATGTATTTTATGCTCAGTCATTAAATACATTTTTCTGTGTTGCCAGCTGTTTGTATGCATCTATTTCTAATCATTTGAATGTTTAAGCTGCACCCCTGAATTTCATATGCTTTTTTCTGGGGAAAAAAAAGGGAAAATATGCTTTTTTCTGGGGCAAAAAAAAAAAAAAAAAAAAAAGAAAAAAAAAAAAAAAAAAAAAAAAAAAAAAAAAAAAAAAAAAAAAAAAAAAACAAAAAAAAAAAAAAAAAAAAAAAAAAAAAAAAAAAAAAAAAAAAAAAAAAAAAAAAAAACACTCAAAAGAATACAGTACAAAGTAAACAATAACTTTTAGGAATTTTTGTGGATAATTCTGCAAACCGTTATGTTTATATCACATGAGTAATTCAAATTAAACTCTGCTCTGCTTTGAGATGTCATAGATGTAAGTCTCATCCACATCTGTTGTCAGAAATAAGTACTTTTAATGATTTTTCATTTGCTGACAGATTATGACAATTCTTCACTCACTGGCAGACATGCATGTTAAGGCACCAAAAAGAGTTTAATTTCAATATAAACTGTCATTTCTGTTTACCACCAATATCTCAAAAGTAATTTCACATTGACAAACTTTAGGTACCCAAGTCTTCAAATACAACAGAATTATAAACATTCATACCTAATCCAGGAATTTCTACCAGAGAAATAGCATGAATTTAATGATCAGAATTCCATTCAAATGATACTAATAGAGTGGATAATAATAACAAATACTATTCATAAAATTATAACCCGTGTTATGAATTATGTGTGCTATTCAGCTTCATTAAAAGTAAATTCCTTTCATGGAGAATGTAATTAAAAAACAGAACAGAACATGATCAGGAGACAAATCTGTCCAGACTGTTGTTTTAAGGATATTTCACTACATTTTTTCCTTCTTGGACTGAGAGCATTTTCTCAAAAGAGTAATTTTTTTATTACTTATACAAAGTTTACACCATTGAATTGACTATTGTGACTATTCTTAAATAAGTGGGGGAAAAAAAAATTTTTCTTTAAGTAATATTTTTCTGTCCCTCCCAAAAAAAAAAACAGATTCTTGATATTTATTTGATGTTTCAGTAAAATAAATTCATGAAGTTTGTTTGGAAAGAAAATCAGCATTTGAAGCAAATAGCAATATAATATTTCCAGCTTTTTCAATAATTTTGTTCTTAAATACAAAAATAATTAAACAGGAAGAAAATGATAGTAATAATTTATGCAAAAGTTATAAACAGAAAGAAAGTAATAATAATAATAATTTACACAGAAAAAATAAATTTTTTGCCAGCATGCATTTTTTAAATAATTTTCATAATAAAATGAAAAATAATTAATGGGATCATTCACAGCATGCATGATCCTGAGCTTAACTTTCGCTTTACGCGTTTCATCCACATTTTTCAGTTTATTGTGCAAACTCATTAAAAAAATTCATGTCATCATCATAGATTTCTTGCGAGATCAACTCATTATTTCGTTCGGATATGATTACAGCTCTTTCGGATGTGATGTGCTCCATATTAAAAAAAAAAAAAAACACCTTCGATGTGACAGTGAAGTTGTCTGCAGAAAGCCGCTTTGTTTTAGCTTCGCTCTGATTGGTCAATGCTTATCCTAAACTATGGCTTAAAGTTGAAAACTTGGAATCTTAAGCCACGAGCCCTAAACCAGATTTTGTGACGTAGCACAGACTGGTTGCCTTGGCAACGGAGCTCGACTTTGACCACTTATGCCCCCATCTGAATGCAGTCTAAGAGTTCTGGTAACAGTATGGAGCCTGAACTAGGAAGTGTTCATCAGTTTGGCAGCAAATACCACCAAATATCCATCTGAAAGAATTCAACCAGCATTGCTCTTTTATTTGGTGAACAAGCTTTTGTTGATTTAAATGATCATTTCTGGACCACTGATTTTTTTTTAGTTCACATTTCACTAATATTTCAATACAAACTTTTCCCAAATAGTTGTTCCAATCTACAGTCGTTGAATGATTCATCTCCAGTTGTTTTTCATACCATTTGATTGATATCATTTCTTCACCCCAAACATAAATAAATCTTAAAGATGTTAGAAAACTTAATCTGGATGTTTCGAAACACATTTCTTTACGAATACTCTTCTTACTGCGGCAGGTAGAAACATTGCAGCGGCATCTAAATCCATCAGAAAAATTAAGTTTTATTTCAAGATTTTGATTACGTGTTGAATTTGTTGCCATTGTGCCTCTTTTGGGGGGGAAGGGGAAGAGAAAGCCTCTTTTTCACTTCACTGGAAATCCCATGTTTTTTCAACATTTTTGAATACCAAATTTTTTAATAATAAAAATAGATGTTGTGTGTTTTAAATTAATATTGGAAATGACGGTGAATGATTCCCATCAGGTTTGTAAGCTAGTTGGCGTAGTCTAAATTATTTCGCAACTTTCTACTTGCACCCGGCTAACCGAAAATACCATTTCTTTGATGAATAAAAGCTTTCCTTCCTGGGATTTTCTCCATATAAAAATGTGAGAAAATTTTAAAGCGAGTTAGCCAAAAAACATAAAATTTAGAATACCTTGGTAATAATATATTTTACATCAGAATTTTAGTACAAATAGTTAAATAGCATGAATCATGCATTATAACTGAATTAAAACCAATTTAGAGTTCTTTTGAAATGATGTCTCTGTGCAAAGTGAAACCCACCTAGTTTCTTCCAGATTTCTTACAAAAATATGCCGGTTTTCAAGATTTCAAGTGTGGCAGCTATGATAATGGTATTAAAAAAAAAAGGTTTTAATATGTAAACAAACTCTCAAAAAATATCAAATATGGAGATTCTGATCACCGTCGGTGAACTTTCTGATGAAATGTGGCAGAATGTTAGGGTTTCATAAAATTTCCCAAGCAATATTGCATCACCAAAGATTTTTATATTTTCAATTTCCTTTTTACATTGGTTTAGTTTTTTTGATCATAATATTGAATGAAAGCATTTATATAAATCAAGTTGATCAAGAAATTTTTAAATAAGAAGACAGAGAAGAAATTTTTACAAGTTCTGGGTTCAAACATCAAATACGAAGAGTATGTTTCATGGAGATGCAAGAATATAAATAACATTTTGCTTTAGACAAAACTCACATAGAAACTTGCAAATAGTTGCAGAAATATAGTACGTTTCTGTTAAAGCTATTCAATAGTATACTTTTTTATTATGGCATAGTTCTTTGGTACCAGCTGTTGCTAGTTTAGTTTTTGTTTCCTGGTAATAATTGTTTTTACAGCTATTGCTCCTGGAACCATATTTTTCATCTAATCTTTTTCTCCCTATTTTACTGCAATGGATTTCAGAATTTGAGATTAGTCAAGAGACAAACAAGTGGCTATCCTATTTTTTCAAGATATAATTCTCCACGAAGTTTGTGTTCAAATAATTGCATCATGACATTAAAATATGATGTGAAGTCGGAATGATCATGCAACATTTGTTTCTGCAAAGAAAGGATAGGTGTTTAAACACAAACATAATTTGTTGAATCTCAGTTCCTTTCATAATTCCTGTGTAGTTCATTTACTTACAGGTGGTAGAAGTTAATATCTTTAGGATTTTCCTAATCAAAGCTTGCTTTGAATGAATTGTAACACAGTGGTTGATTGGGAAAATTACGTAAGAGATTCCTTATTATTATCGCCTAATTATAAAATCATTGGATGCTATAAAATTGTAGAAATTTATGAAAGTTTACTTGCAGAAAGAAAATAATGACTTATGCCATATTCTTCCACTACAGTAGGTTTCTGGAGGATTTTGTTAAGAAATTAGAGAATATTTCCTTGTTATTGCTGTTCCCATTCATTCGACTTTTCCTGGTATTGAGCCCAACACATACAGAAATATATAATCCAAAATGGTGTAGTATGACTGAAAATGCAGGGTTAGGATTCAATAGCAGAGTTTTCGAAATTATTTTACCAGGCAGAATTACTTAAGCAGAATATTTCAATTAAAATAAATTTCATAATTTATAATGTGTGTATATGCACATTTGCTGAGTTTTAGCAAAATTATAGATGACTTTTACTGTATTAAGATAATTGTTGCTATTTTTGTGTAATAATGAAATATGCTTTAAACTATTTCATTTAGTGGCAAGGATGTGTCTTTTCATTATTCTTGAATTCATTAGGTTGGAGATTTTGGTCTAGCAAGAGAGTATGGTTCACCCTTGAAACCTTACACTCCTGTTGTTGTGACATTATGGTATAGAGCACCTGAACTACTGCTTGGTGCTAAAGTAAGTCTGTTTATCTTTATTTCTTTTTTTTCCCCTTTCCTTCAAATCCGTAGAATTTTAATGACTGTCACTATTCCAGGATTAGTATGAGTAATTATCAGTTTTTACTTTAAGAAATAGCAATCTTAATTTTCTTAATTATTTTAAATTTGTTTTCTTTAAAGAAATTGGCAAATTATTTTTGTTTTGTATTTGAAATGAGTTGTTTTCAAAAATGCAAACATTGAGTTTGTATGCAGAATAGGTCTTCTTTCTTGTGGCTCACCATGTATGCAATGTATGTTTGAATTTTTCCTTCCTCTTCCTGTATGAAATGTATTTTCCTTCCTCTTCCTGTGAATTTTTCCTTCCTCTTCCCTATCCTTTTTCCCCCCTTCCTCTTCCTATTCCTTGCCTCTTCTTCCTGTATCTTTCTCTGCATATGGAATCAATGGCATAAAGAATGAATGGAGTGACATGAAGGCTGACAAAGACTTTCACAGACTATCTTGTGCAAATGGCCTATAAGAAAAACAGAGCAACATCATACATCCTGATGAAGAAAGTACAGTATTTAGCATACTAAAAAATGTGTGCAAGTGCAATGAAATCTCGGTGTGAAGGTCATGGATTACGTACATTTAATGGTATGGCACAGGCTGATGCAACTTAAAATTACATCTAAAATAATTTTTTTAGAATCAGATATCGTAAAGATTGATATCGTATGCACTTATCTCTAGTCCTTATCTTTATAATTAGAAATTATAGAAATACCCCTTTCTGTATGCTAAAATTTAGGCAGTACTAAAGATTTATTTATGAATATGCAAAGGAAGTTCTTCCTTTGAAAATTTGAAGTCAAAAAATAAATTTCATTAATGAATAATTTAAGAATGTACCATCCATTTATTCACATGTATGGATGTAATACATAATTTAAACAAAGGACATATTAAGTTCAAAACCCAAATATTCACTGCAAGCTGCAATATTCCATAATTTAATGGCGCTTTTTTTGTTAAATTTGAAACATAATCAAAGCAAATTCCAAATCATATTCACTATTGTAATAATGAATACCCCTCTCCAAATGCAAAAAACTATTGTAAAAAATAACTAGTAAATGAGACCTGTTTCATTATTGCATGAAAAGAAAATTCATACAAAAAAATGCCACAGTAGAAAAATGCAAAAAATAACGGAGGCAAATGGATTTTACATCTTCACCATGCGGTAAGTGTAACAAGAGAAGTAAAAATCTGTGTCTTGTTAGCAGTGGCGATAAAGGCAAAGCATATTTTGCTTCCCTTCAATAAAGCTAAGACTAATCTAAATAAAATTCATGCTTTATTCCATAAATTAAAATAAAATAAGCTAACACTGTAGCCTTTACATTTAAAATCATTGAGTGAATGAAAACTAGCATAATGCTAACCCTTAATACCAAGACATTTGCCGATACCAGCGTACATATATATAATACTCGGCCAACCCGCCAATCTTGACGTTATCGGCCAATCAGCGGCAACCACGTTAGCTTACCGCCAATTGACCTCCGATCAAAATTTGCATGAGGAAAACTAAAGCCAACAAACGGCCCTCTTTTCCTCATGCAAAGACAAAAACAAAACTTACACAGAATTACAGAAGTTCATAGTTCAATTCTATTATACGAAAACACTTATTGTCTTTAAACACTGAAAACATCTAAACAAAACTTTCTTAAATTAACAGCAGTCGCCGCTTTTGTAAATAAGTCTGCAGTATTTAATTTACTGGTGATAAATTCAAGGTCAAACACTCCATCATTTACTAGTCTTCTAATAAAGTGATATTTTATGTCTATGTGCTTAGTTCGGCGATTTTCTATTGGCGATCTAGAAAAATCAATGGCAGACTTGTTATCACAAAATAGTTTACATTCTCTTAAATTAAACTTTAAAATTTCATCTTGTAAGACATTTTTCGTCCACATTAATTCCTTCGCTGCCTCTGATAAGGCGATATACTCCGCTTCCATGGTTGATAAACTTACACATTTTTGTTTAAAAGTTTTCCAGATTACCGGTACTTCATCTAAATATAATATAAATCCTCCCATGGACACACGGTCATCCCTATTACTTGCATAATCAGCATCTGAATAACAAATAAATGTTTAATCAATATAAATTTAGATGTTAATAATCTTCGATAAGTTTAACTTGTATAATTTAGTACTATTGAGATAACCAAGCAATTTCAACAATGCTTCCCAATGCCTAATTCCAGGATTCTCCTGAAATTGTGATAAGATATTCACTGCATATGTAATATCAGGCCTTGTCCTGTTAGCTACAAAAACTAAACATCCCAACAGATTTCTAAAGGGTAATGTATGCATTTCCGCAATTTCTGCACTTGTAGATGGACAATCTAATTTTGTAAGAATAGTGCCTTTAGCTATGGGAAGTGAAGTTATTGGTATCTGGAAATGTTTAAATTTTTCAAAAATTTCTTCGATATATTTTTGCTGATGTATAAAAAAACCCATTCTCATTCTCTAAGAATTCAATTCCAAGTAACGTTTTAGTTTTGCCTAATACTTTAAGATAAAAAAACTTACTCAGCTGTGAAATTACTTTATCTATACTATATTGATCTTTACTAAAAATCACAATATCATCTACATATAACGAATACATTTGAACCTCTATAACACAATTACACCATTGTATTTTCTTAAAATGTAGATTTTCTAAAATTCACAAAACCATTCACGGCCGCTTTGATGTAGACTGTAAATGGCCTTGTGTAATAAACACACTTTATTTTCCTCTTCGATAAATCCCTCTGGTTGGGTCATATATATTTTCTCATTTAGGTTTGCATATAAATATGCGTTCTTTACATCTAACTGACAATTAGTCCATCCATATAAACATACCAGGATAGTAAAAAATATTCTTATGATTGAAAAAATTTACTACAGGACTGTAAACGTCATCAAAATCTTCACCTCTTTTCTGCCTGAATCCCTGTGCTACTAAACGTGCTTTGTATCTAACCACTTGATTCTTTTCATTTCTTTTTAGCATATAGACCCATTTGTTTCCTAGCATAGTTTTATTTTCTGGCTTTTTCGACTAATTCCCAAACCTTTCTTTTCTTCATTGTGTCAATTTCTTCTTTCATTGCCTTATCCCATTCTTCGGCATTTACTGATTTTCGTGCTTCTTTAAAATTTTGTGGGATAACAATTTCTACGGAATTTGCCTCTTCAGACACAGAGCTAGTCTCCTGTTCTACAAAATTAACTTTCCCCGGGTATTCATTTTTTTCACTAAAACCAAACTCATCTTTTTCAAATTTAATATTTCTTGCCTCACAATACTTTTCAATATCATTATAGGATCTAAAATGGATTCTGTTCCCTCTACATAATAATATATGTCTGTACGTGTTCCGTCTGGCCTTTTTAATTAACTGCTTTTCTTTGCCAGTTTAAGTCTGATACTTCTTTCGGGAGTAGATTTGTCATCTGACAACTTTATTTCTTCTCTAGAAAGTTTCCTGTTCTTCATCTGATTCTGCTAATAGCTCAGATTCCTCTAGTCTTTTAAACTTAGTTTTTGATTTCTGTTGCAGGATGCCATTTGCTGCATTCAGTTTTTCATCGAACTTCACATTACAGGTTTCTATTAATCTGCGTTCTTCTGGCAGCCATATCCTATAACCCCTAGTTTCCTTCGCATATCCTACCATGATTCCTTCTTTGCACCTCATTTGTAATTTATTTCTAATCTGTTTTGGCACGCCAACATAGGCTTTACAACCAAATATTTTAAAATAAACAACACTGGGTTTTCTATTTAGGAACATTTCATAAGGGGTTCGGTTGCTTTTATGACATACTCTGTTCCACGTATGTACGAAACAGCCAAGAGCTTCTGCCCACCATTCTTTTCCCATTTTACCATCATTAAGCATAGCTTTAACTGCGTCTAATGCCGTTCGGTTAAAAAGGCTGGGGTGTATGCGTTTGTGCGTTCAACATTAATTCCATTTTCAACTAAGTACCCTTTGAATTGCCTGTTACAGAATTCCCCACCGTTATCGGTGCATATACTTGTTAATTTTCTATATGTCAGTCTTTCCATTTGCCTATGATAATTCTTAAAGTTGTAGAATGATTCATTTTAATTTTTCATACAATACACTGTTACTAATCTACTATAGTCATCCACAATAGCAAAGAAATATTTACTCCCACCTTTAGATGGAACTGGTAGTGGGCCACAAACGTCTAAATAAACCAACTCCAATGGTTTATTCGATCTCTTTGGAACAGTTTTAAAAGTTATTCTACTAGATTTAGCAATAATTACACGGTTCACACCTCTCCATTGGTTTTTCAATTTCTGGTAACCTTTTCATGCTTTGATTCTTACTAGTTTTCTTAATATAATCAAAATTTACGTGGCTAAATCTCCGATGCCATAGCATCACATCGTCTACTTTATTTAACTTTCCAATTTCTGTACCGTAACCAGCTTCCTTTTATCTGTTGCATATCTAAATGGTTTTACGTGATAAAGTCCGTCATATCGTTTAGCGTAGCATAATCTATCCCAATTATTAAAGTATATCCACATCTTCCCTTTTGAAATCACAAAATGAGCACCTGCCTTTTCTAACCTTGCTCCCGATAGTAAATTTCTTCTTAGATTTGGATTATATAACACATTATCTAACTCAATCCAATTTATTCGATTGCCTACTTTTACTGCAAATTTGACGGTACCCTTTCCTAGTACTTTACTTTCACAATTTCCTACAGCTAAAGACATACGTATATCGTTTATTTTTTCTTCAAAATTTGTCATTAAATTTCTATTATTACAGAAATGAGTTGTAGCTGCAGTATCTACGACCCAATTAAATTTATCTGCGTTACCTCCTTTATCTGTAGTTGTTACATAATTTTCTACTAACATTAATTCTTTATCTTTAAACTGTCCATTTTTATCGTCTATTTTAAACTTCTGATTTTTACTTACATTTTCTTTACATTGAGCGATTAAGTGTCCAAATTTATGACATCTGAAACAAGGTCCTATTCTCATATTCCCCATTTTTTTCTTAGATTTAGTTTTATTTTCAACTCTATCTTTCCCTGCATTTGAACTAATAGTATTAAACACATTTACCTTGCTGTCTTCTAAATCAGCATTTACCTGGCGAAGTCAGCTTTTTTCCCTTACCAGTTCTTCAGCAATTCTTTCCAGCGTAAATTCTTCGTCCTTCCATTTATAAATCAACTGTACAATGCTGGAGTATTCCTGGGGTAATCTCCTTATTGCTTGCCTGAAATCCTTTAAAAAGATCTGCCAAGTTGTGACCAGCTTCAGCCAACTTCTTTGCAGTCATTCTTATCCTTGCGATGAATAATCCTATTTCTTCATTTGGCGTATATCTAATACTAAAAAATTCATCTAGTAACTGAATTATCCTTGCTCTTGTTTTGGGTTCGAATTGCTTCTGTTGAACTTCCCATGCTTCTTTACCACTTGAACATTCTTGTATTAGCGGCCTGAACTCAGTTTTAATTCCATAATATAATGTAGTGAAGGCTCTATTCTCTCTCAGTGTGAATTCCTGCTTTTCACGTCTTGTTGCACTTTTATCTAATTCTTCTTTTTTGTCTTCTATAAAGCTCCAACAATTTCTATCCAGTAACGGCATTTTCATATTGACTTTCCATCGATCCCAGTTGTCATGGTTTAACAGCTCAAAACCTTCAGGTAGTAATGACATCTTCAATTAAGTGTAAGTACAACAACTTGAACAAACTTCTAAGACAGGTTAGCTTCTTTTCATGGATAACGGCCCTCTTCACTTACATTCCTTCAATGCTGAGTTGAACTGGATTACTGATCAGTTGTTGGTGCTGGGCCCATAACCCTGTTGGCAGTGGCGATAAAGGCAAAGCATATTTTGCTTCCCTTCAATAAAGCTAAGACTAATCTAACTAAAATTCATGCTTTATTCCATAAATTAAAATAAAATAAGCTAACACTGTAGCCTTTACATTTAAAATCATTGAGTGAAAGAAAACTAGCATAATGCTAACTCTTAATACCAAGACATTCGCAGATACCGGCGTACATATATATAATATTTGGCCAACCTGCTGATCTTAACATCAGCGGTAACCACGTTAGCTTACCGCCAATTGATCTCTGATCAAAATTTGCATGAGGAAAACTAAAGCCAACATGTCTGATCTGACAAATGCACAGTTTTATGAAATTAATTTTGGTACTTTTCAATTTCGCCAGCGCAAATCTCGCCCCAAGCAGACTTTGTTGGCGACAGCATACAGTATACACATAAAAAATTTTAACAATTAATAGTTCTAAGAATTTTTTGTTTTGAAGGCATTTTAATATGGTTTAAAATTTTTGTAAAAAGCCAATAATTTTGTAAAAAGACATTAAGAATGTGCTATGCTTTCATGGTCAACATCCTGATTCACTGGTTCATGTAATGGAACCCCAAGTGATCTCATCTCACGTAAACTACACTATGAAAATCTAATTCTCTCAGTAATTACATTAATTTTAAGTTAAATCTTAATTCGGAATACAAGTGTAAATGCAAGAATTATTTCAATTCGTACGAATAGCTTACTCAGAAATTATGTAAGACCGCAGTGATGACTTATTAGAATAAGGACAATAAATTTGTAAAAGGGCATTAATTTAAGAATTTACTATGCTTTCATGGTTCAACATTCTGATTCGCAGGTTCATATCACGTGGTCCCAAGTGATCTTATCTCATATAAACTATGCTACAAAAAAATCTAATTCTCTCAGTAATTATCTACAATGATTTCAAATTAAATCTTATGGAATACAAGTTTAAATGCAAGAATTATTTCAATTCGTATGAATAGCTTACTCAATTATGTAAAACCGCAGTGCTTTACTTTGCTACTGCATTCTCATTAGATTTGATGAATTTAACCCTTGATTTTGCTTTTTCTATATTTTCACCGTCGAGTGAGTGGTGTGATTGCATCCTAATTAAATACCGCAAATGGTCTTTGGGCATAAATTTAACTAAAAAAAATTCTATGTAATTGTATGCCAATATTGAAAGAAACAATCAATCTTATAAGAAATGGCTGCGACTTGTTTTGAAAATGAAGGGTAAAAGGTTACCAGCGAAGATATTGCGTTTAGCATCAGTTGTACCATTATTGGCGACTTAATCATTTGTGTCGGCAAAACGGAAATGTGCCTTAATTTTAAATCAGGAAGCATAAATTAAATCATTAAATTGAATTAAATCAATATGTGCATCCATCGGTCCAATCCTTAGACTGGAGATTATATATATTTGTGTGTGTAATATGTAAGCCATTTGTTCCAAAAGTTTTATTGAAACCTTTTTTTCCAGCAATATTCTACTGCTATTGATATGTGGTCAGTGGGTTGCATATTTGGAGAGTTACTTACAATGAAGCCTCTCTTTCCTGGAAAATCAGATATAGATCAATTAAATAGGATATTCAAAGTAAGATTTCTTGCTGTGTTATATTAATTTGTGGTGCATTTACTGCTGTATTTGATTTAATTTGTAAATCATTCGCACACGTTTGTTTTTTTGGCCCGCTTTCTCTTGTGTGTAGATTTTTTACTTCCTTGTACGAAGCAAAGGAAGTATTGTAATCACGAAAAATTCCGGGTATTATATTTCAACGAAAATATCCATTTTAATTGCTATTGAATGCTTTTGTGTGACATCTCTCAGAATAAAAGATTCTTTTTCCCAAATGAATTATAAAACTGATTTAAAATGGATTCTGAAGAGATTTTTTCATGGCCTCTGTACGTATGTGTGTATGTATCTCGCATATTTCAAAAATGAATAGCCTCAGAACCTTGAAATGTTGTATGTGGGATTGCTATAGCATGTAGATGTGCATCTCCCTTTTTGGTTGCAATCGGCTGCACCAAAAGTATATAAATATATCTATCCACTCTGTTATTCAGCTTAGTGAGTTGTTTCTTTATTCTTATATGTTTGTAAATTGTGCATTTCGCTTTACAAATAATTGAATTATGTTGTTCTTATCTTCCAGTTTAGGTTATTATGACTTTAATTAACCTGCATGTTATAGTTGTAGAATTATCAACAATTTTAAAGTTGTTTAAGTGTGGCTAGGCCTAATATTTTTGCCATAGCTTAGATCAGGTAAAGAATGTATTATTATTAAAAGATTTCATCATTGATTCATCCTATCAATGTTGTCTAAGGAGAAAACATTTATATTATCCAAAATATGTATAGTTGCAAAGCAAACGTGCAGTAACTTTTATAAAGAATATCCTACAAATTTGGTAAAAAACCTAAAGAAACATGTGAAATTATGCATTCAGAAAAATAAAGTTGGACTATGTTGTACAAACTCAAAGCAAACCAATAAGGAAAGAAAAAAAAAAAAAAATTCTTAAAAGATGATTCATCTACACACCTGATCATAAAAAAACTATTCCCCATTTTCTTTTTTGGAGGACCCACCAGTGGCCGAGCGGTAAAGTTGCTGAGGCAGGCTGCATGGGTGTTTTCATGGTTTTTCTCCATGTGTAAAGTGTATACGAGCCAGTTTCCCTTTGAAAGTCCTCCACGAAGGCATCCCTCCTCTTAGGCAGATAGCCCTCAAGGCTTTGCCATAATTACACAAACCATTTTTGCGGAATAATGAAAATTCCATAACTTCTATGATAACACTGGCCTTGAGTACAGCTCTGTGTAAGAATTTAAATAAAATAGGAGAATACAGTTTATCTGTCTCAATATTTTGGACAGCATATAATGTCTTAAAAAAATGTACTTACCATATATTCCGGTGTACACCATGCACTTCTAATACAAAAATTAAAACCAAAATTTTTGGTTGCCTGTTATACCCCGGCTATAGAAATGATAAATTTTTAAATAAGGAAAAGATAAGCTCAAAAAAAATTATATTTCTCCATGTACCTAAATGCTGTTATTTAAAAAAAAGGACATACCTTATGAAATTAAAAATTCTCATTATAGAATAACATGAAAATTCGTCATATTTGTCTTTCATTATATCTTCAGGCACATCATTGAATTTTGTTTCATCTTAATCATCACTGTTACTTAAATTCGTAAATAAGTAATCATCTTCCATTCAATCTAGATTGTTAGATATGCTTCATTTTTAAAATGATTTGAACTATATCAGGTTTAATTTCATTCCATGCTTTTATTACCCACTCTATTTCTAGACTGGTATGATGCATTTTCCTCCTTTTATAAATGACTTTCACTTTCTAACACCCACGTATTTCACTGTTGTCTTAAATTTTCTGTGAATGTTTTATTGATACACACATCTAAAAGCTGAACTAATGACATTAATCTTAACATTTTTTCCAACAATTTCTTTGTACAGTCAAAAGTCTTTAATCCAGACGTCCATAATCCGGATCTCAAGGCTACAAACTTTCTGTGCATGCGTAAACGCATAATACGTTTACGTATGTGCATAATACCTTTACATATGCGCGTTTAATGTATAACGGATGGTATAAGCTAAGCTAAAATTATCTAATTATCTATTTCAGTTAATGTTGCAGATTGCGTTGTTTCTTAATCTTCTAATTGGATGCGGCTTATTATTTTTTGCAGACTGTTAGAGCAATTTTATAAAAGTAAGCTTGAACTTTCGATTATGTCAAAAAGAATTTCCGATTCTGGAGCTGCCAAAGGATCTACAAAGCGAAAGCATGTTTCGATGTCCATCAAACAAAAAGTGGAATTGCTGCAAAAAATGGATAAAGGCATATCCTTTGTTTCTCTAACCATTCCGAAATCTGTTTATGAATTTCACGCTGCTCTGCGGTGGGGGGGGGGGGCGCTGCGGCTCGCCATAAACTGGAAGTTGATCTATCAGCACTATCCTTATCTTCAGAGCAGATGTTTTTATTTTATTTGGCTTATAATTCCTTACTAAATGTAGTATTCATCTCGATGTACTCCGTCTTTGATATGATTTAAATCAAATTCCTCGTCATTATAAATATCACGAATAAACATCAAATAGTTTTCTGGTTGCAATTTTCTAATTTCGAATATGCGTAATGTATGCTTTACGCATGCGCGCGTTGAAAGAAATGTTTATAAGTAAACAAATAAAAATTGAGTTTTTTTTTTTTGTAAATTTTTGATACCCTTTAGATCGTAATTGCTCTTTATTTCATAAATTATGGTTTCATATTTTTAATTTTATAATTTCTGCATGCCATCTTACCAGATTTAAATTGATGATCTATAATCCGGAAATCTGATAACCCGGAATCACCGAAGACCCATAAACTGGAAGTTGATCTATCAGCACTATCCTTATCTTCAGAGCAGATGTTTTTATTTTATTTGGCTTATAATTCCTTACTAAATGTAGTATTTCATCTCGATGTACTCCGTCTTTGATATGATTTAAATCAAATTCCTCGTCATTATAAATATCACGAATAAACATCAAATAGTTTTCTGGTTGCAATTTTCTAATTTCGAATATGCGTAATGTATGCTTTACGCATGCGCGCGTTGAAAGAAATGTTTAATAAAGTAAACAAATAAAAATTGAGCTTTTTTTTTTTTGTAAATTTTGATACCCTTTAGATCGTAATTGCTCTTTATTTCATAAATTATGGTTTCATATTTTTAATTTTATAATTTCTGCATGCCATCTTACCAGATTTAAATTGATGATCTATAATCCGGAAATCTGATAACCCGGAATCACCGAAGACCCGACGAGTCTGGATTAAAGACTTTTGACTGTATTATGCATTCGATGGGATCTGAACATTTCCCCAAACTAAAAGACTTTCTGGATTCTTTAAGGAAATAGTACACCTTTGCTTAACATTTCTTATCTATCTGCAGTCTGGTGCCAAATTTGTCCATCCATCATTTCTTGTGAAGATGAATGGAAACACATTTGGAAAATGGCCAGAACTGTTCTACTCTTTCGTAGCATGAGACATTTTTGGAATAGCTGCTACATTTTTAGAGTTCTCAGTGCCTTGATGATCATATTGATGGAAAACTCTAATGAATCTCTTAATGAAAGCATGAAATTACATAATGATATGTATGTACAAGTGGGAAAGGATCACATTTCTTATTAATGTCAAAAGCCTGCATTAGTTACTAAGAAATTCATTTTATCCTAAAACTCCATTGTAATATATTATTTCCATTTTATATGTGTTATGTTTCATAATTTTGTGTTATATGCATTCATATTCAAATTAAATTTCTATTTAATGTGCATTATGATATGTATTATCTCAAATTCATTCAATTTTAATAAGTAGATTTTTAAGAAATCCAGTGTTTTTATACAGGCAAAGATAATTTTGGACACCATTGTCATTTTTAGAATGTATATATACTTTAAAAATTATATATATAGTGGCAGATCTGTTATAAATTATAATTGAGCATTCATTAATTAAGGAAAAAATTCTAGATTTTTAAAGGAAATATTGCTAAAAGTAGCTTGTTTAATAAATATGGGAACTAAACATATAAATATTGGAATCTGGAAATCTACATGCAAAATTTCTCTTTGTAAACAAATGAAATGCCAGGAAAATTGTATGAATTTGTCTAACCAAGACTGATTGAAATATGCTTATTGTGGCTTTTCATTTATCATTTTGTTTTTCAGACACATTTTATTTAACTACATTACTTTTATACTGTTAACCATGTCTGTAACTGGAATACACTAATATTTTGGGTAGAGAGATAATATAGAGAAAATACACTTTTGTTAAAATTAACTGTTTTTATTATTGTAATTTTATATGTATATCCACGATTTAAGCAATTCTGTATTTTATGTGCCAAATTACGTATTTAAAACAGCTACCATTTTTGTAAAATCATCATTTTAAAAAAGTAATTTTATTTCACATACTGCTCTAATTTTCATGCTTTCCTATAATAGCATAGAAATGTTTTCCTTTTTGAAAATGCTGGTTGTAGTTGCATCATTTCATAAACTGTTTTGAATTGTAACATGTTGAACTTATAATTTTAGGATCTTGGAACTCCCAGTGAAAAAATTTGGCCTGGTTATAGTGATCTCCCTCTGGTTAAAAAAGTTACATTTACGGAATATCCATATAACAATTTAAAAAACCGTTTTGGGCATAATTTTACAGCTTTAGGCTTTGACCTTCTTAATAGGTATGTATGTCAAAAGCAAAGTGAACAGATTATAGGTTTTGAAATATATTCTTAAAAGAATTAGAAAATCAGTATTTAATAAGTAAATTTTAAGTTTCTATTATAGAAATAAATCACTACTAAGATTCTTCTTTCTTGAAATTTGTAAATATTTATATAGAAATCTGGTTTTCAAAATACCACATTTAGTTTTCATGTTTAATTTTACTGTTTATTATTACTATCACATTTTAACATATCTTATCCTAGTTTAATTGTTATGTAATTTTTTGGGTATGTTTGGTCTATTTGATTTGAAGTTCTTTTGTTAGAGAAGGGATTAATGTATATATTGGTATGTAACTTTAATTTTGGATGACAGGTGAAAAATAGAGTGAATTTTAAATAGGAGTGTTGAAATAGACATTATTCATTTAACAAAGATTGTTTAAAATCACATTTAAGCCAGATATGTTTAGAGCTCGAAGTTTTATTTAAATCAAATATAATAGAACATTTTATTAAAAGAATTATGTGCTGTGTTGTTGAAAACACTGAGCCAAGCATAATCATAATCACAGTTGGAAGTAGAGGAAATTGTTACTTTTATGTTACTGCATGGCCAGCTTCAGAAAAATAGGTAACTGAAGAAATATCCTATGCGTAATGTAAGCACGAGTTTTTTTTTTTTTTTTTTCCTCCCAAGGGATTTAGAATAAATAACATGGGGAAGAAAACCTTTTCAGGCAATTGTTCACTAAGCCAGCAGTGGTTTTCTCTAAAGGGGATTAGGTGAAAACTATAATACACCAAGAAAAAACTGTAATCCACTCTAAGATGACCACTCATGGTTCTAGATTATTTTGGTCTTCAAAAGTACTCATTTTAGAAGAATGATGTTCAGTAGCAGTTTTTAATGCTGTTTGAAATGTCGGTCATTTTCAGAAGTGTTATGAGAGGGAGGTAGTTTCTATAGTTTAATATACACTGGTCATCAAAATTAAAGTATAATGATAGAAATAAGATATAACTGAATAAAGAATTATTAATAGAAATTTGTGCAAAAGCATTAGTTAAGCTAATTTACAATATTTGGCAATTGATTACTTGAAAAATATTGAAGTTAAAACCAAATTCATGGAAATTGGTAAATGATGGGAAAAATTAAGCCACCTTTTGTGGAAACATTTTCATTTAATGTAGTATATGGTCACCTTGGACAGATATGCATGCCTCAAATCTTGATTTCATAGACTTTACCAAACTGTTGATCAAGTCTTGTAGAATTGCATGTGTCTCTTCTATAAGTGCACTTTTGAACTCTCGGAGGTTTCGGGGAGGAATTAAGTGTAGTGAAATTCGGTACTCTAAGGCATCCCACACATGCTGAATCGAGTTCAAGTTGGGTGAGTAAAGTGGCCAAACCATTCAAGTGATATCGTCTGTTTGCAAGTATTATAACACCACATAAGCTGGATGAGGCCAAACATTCTCATCCATTAGTAAAAAATCTGGGCCAATAGCATCCCTAACTTGAGGTACCAATACATCGTCCACATATCTCCGAGTGGTTACAGAATCTTCTAAAAAGATATACAGCTCAGTGCGGCGATTTGTAATGATTCCTCCCCAAACCATTGAATTGTGGTTGTAGAAATGGGATAGTTCACAGAAAAGGAAAGCTAAGTTGCATATTCTTTCCCCTCTCCAGATCAAAGCACATCAAGAATCACTATTCAGGCTATATCTGGACTTGCCAGTAAACAATATTCAGGCCCAGTCATCGTGGCTTCATTGAACCTGACAACGGCACCAGTTTAAATGAGCCACTCTGAAAGCTGTACTTGGAGGGACACAAACCATTGGCTTTCTCTCATAGCTTAGCTTAGGTTAGGTTATTTAATTATGGCAAAGCCTCAAGGGCTATCTGCCTAAGTTGAGAGATGCCTTCTTGGAGAACTTTCTAGGGGAAACTGGCTCATATACACGTTAAACACGGGGAAAACCACGAAAACACCCATGCAGCCAGCCCATTCATGGGATTCGAATCTCAGATCGAACTACCAGTGTTCAGCGACTTTACCACTTGGCTGCTGGTGGGCCCTTTCTCTCATAGAGTCCAACATTTTTAAGCTTTGTACAGCAGTTGAACGGCTAATTAGAGTTCCTTTGGCAGCCTGAAAGTCTAAAACCAAATCTCTTGTAGTCGCTTCGTGGTTCCTTCAAGCTAGCAATGACAGAAAACGGTCTTCTGATGCAATTGTTGCTCTTAATTGCCCTTGACCAGACTGTCTATCAACTGATCCAGTGCTTAAAAAGTGGCTCCAAACTCTTAATATGGCACTTTGAGGGATATTCAAATGTGTTCAATGTATTGTTTTATGTTTGTTCAGACGAAAACATATAGGATAGATTTAACTTTTGTAATTTTTTCTTTTGAAAATATTATGTTCACTGGTCATTAAAGTTAAAGGATAATGAGAAAAATGTGCTTGCTCTAATGTTGCAACCAGTACCAATGCTGTAATTATTTATGTTAATTAAATACAAATGAACTGTTGCATCAGGTTCAACAAAAAGTAATATAGAACTCTCTTACCTCATGCATCTTCATCGTTCATGACAAGTGCTCCAATGAAATTTCTCTTCTTAGTAAGAGACAAACTTGGCTTTAATGTTTTATTCATAAGGAAAAACAAAATTGCATTATTTACAAAATTAGTACTAAATATTTTAAGGCAGATATTTCATTCTCAGATCTCAATCAGAGAAAGAAAAAGGAAGAATGCCTGCCATCTAATGGGAAGAATGGAAATCTTTCTCAACTCAAAATAATAATAATAATAATAATAATAATTAGTATATCAAGTTAAATATATATAACAGATTTTACAGTTTTACGTCTGTATCTATTTTGATAGTTCATATCGTTGTCACAGTCATTGGGAGAGTTCTTTTTATTCATAATTAAGTCACTAAACTAAACTCAGTGGCGCAACAGCCCTAGTGGGCCACGGCCTGCAGTGCCCCGAAATTTGCTTTCCTGACCTTGGGCTCCAGAGTGGATCAGCATATAACCCTGAGCAAGGTCAGCTTATTGCAGGCTCCTGGTCTTTAGTCCCTAAACAAATTTGGTATTCATTTTATCGGCCCATTCAAGGGATGAAAGGCTGAGCCAAACTTGCCCAGCCCGGAGATCGAATGTGGTGCAGCTGCATGATGCGCTAGCCACTTCGCACTGGATGGTTCACTAAACAATTAGGTCTATCAAATTTGAGAGGATAAATGCATTTCACAGGTCTTAAGAATTAACCCATTGCAGTTTTCACTTAGACAACACGTACTTCATTGTCTTTCCCCGGATGTATTTCTACAGTACCACCTATTGGCCAATCTATTCTATTGTTGTCGCTTCTGAAAAACACCAAGCCATTTTTGTTGATAGTCTTGGTATATTGTTTAGGGCAGTGATTCTCAACCTTTTTAAAGCTGCCGCCCCCTAAGGAGCAACAACTTTTTCAAAGCCCCCTATGTTAAACTTCTGTAATTTAGGGTATGGGAAAGGGGGTGTTCCTGAATTATAAAAGGCAAAAATTTTAAGTAATTTTTTTCGGTAGACTTACACAACAAATTTGATTGTTTAACTCGATAGTTTTGCTCTAGAAGGTAATTACATTCCTTTGGTTAAAACTGAAATGACTAATTAAAAAAATTAAAGGGAACAGCAAAAAATGCACTAAACGAGTAATATCAATGAAAAAATCAAGTATGATAAGTGCTTGTTTGTTTCAGAGCCAGTTTCTAAAAATTTGATTTAATATTTTTAGAGATTAAGTCTCAAGTCCTCTCTTTCCCCGATTTGAAGTTGACTTTTCTTTTTTGTAATTAGATGAGTCACAGCACTAAATCCTTGCTCAACAAGGTAGGAGGAAGGGAAGGCAATTAAAAACTTTTTGATGATAGTCCACAATCCTGGGTAGAGGGGACTGATACTACTTTGAAGCCAAAATACTGTGAGACGATCACCATTCTGGAAACTGGCTTTCAAAGTTTCATTGTTGAAAGTTTGACTAGTTCATCCTGAATCTGAACCTCTGCTTTCTCAGTATTCATAAAAGGGTTCATGATCCATTGAGAGACTTCCAGAAATAAAATATCCTCAAAATGCTCAGGAAAGTCCTTCTGCAAAGACTCAATGTGTTGACAGTAAACTTGTGCTTGATCGAACGGGATTTCATTCCTCTTATGTAGATCCAACAAGATCGCAAGCTGGCTGAATTTCTTGCAACCAAAATTCTTTTTCCACGAAGTGAGTTTTTTTTAGAAAGGCAGAAATAACAAATTTTGTTGTGATGAAGTTGAGCTCTTCACCTTAAAGCTGAAAATTAATTCCGTTGAATTTTGCGAATAAGTCGGGTCATGTAAACAACATCAATCTTAAATTGTAGCAATCTGTCTTTCAGAACTATATCTTTCTCTCTGAGGAACTCAAGTATGGAGTTGAAAAATTCCAGAAGTACTGAGGCAGGTACCTTTGGAGAGCCAGCGAACCTCTGTGTGTAAAAGAAGCATTTGAATTCTTCATCTTTGTCGTTACACGATTGCCCGAATCCATTGATTGGTGCAGACATAATGTTCACAAGAGGAATATTTTCTCTTTAAAATAATCTTTGACAGTATTAAAAATAGATTCACTTTTTGTATCTGCAATCAAGCATTTTGCAAAAAGCATCACTTTAATAATTTTTCCTTCCTTCACAAACTGGATGTATGCTAACAGTAAAGTCTCATTAGTACTTGACAAGGTTGCTTCATCAACCTGAAGAGAAAATTCGGTGAGTTTCAAAAAATTGCCCAAGGAAGCTTCAACATCTTCAGACATCTCATCAGTTTGTCACACTGGAAAATTGCTTAATGGGACATTTTTTATAACATTGTATGGTCTAAAATCATTTCTAAACTTTCTTGATAGCAGTGTCAACTTTTTGCTGATGGTATGAGCTTTCCCGATTTAGCAATTA